TTATTCTGGTGGAGCTTACTACTTCTTCTTAACGGGCGAGGAGGTTGGTGAACTCTCCATGAGATGCGGTCAAAGATAAAGTGAGGATGAACCGTTTCCTTCTACGGTGCAGGTAAGGCCCCCATGCTCTCCCTCTTGATGACGTAGCCAAGCAGAGAGTCTGACTGGTCTTGGACTATGTTGGGCTTGGTGGATCTCTTATGAAGTTAAGTTCCTCAATTGGGATTTGGACTTTCCACATATATTGGGTCATTTGGGGTTGACTCATCACGTCCTGAACATCAAGGAGCTTCACGCCCTAGACATCAAGGAGCTCTGCGCCCTGGATATCAAGGAGCTCCACAACTTGTTGCTCCCCATTTAGGCGCCCATGGACAAATCTATAGGCATACCAATATTTTTCAAATTCATTTATATTAAATTTTACCTTTATTTGCTCGTTTTTCACTCTCTAATATTCACTCTCTTTCTCTGTCTTTGATATTCACTCTAGTACTTTTATACACGGTTATCTCCCGTTATTAAATATAGTGGATGATCTATATTCATTTTTATTTTTTATTCACCCACTTTCTTTGAAACCAAATACACTAATAGAGTTTCTTATGAAATAAGATCTCCTGTAATATATTTTTATTTATTTTTTAATTAATTATTAAAATAGTGAGTGGTCTATATTTTTTTGATCTCTCAATCTAATTGATTGCAAATAATTAGCATCAACATCTCTAATTCATATTCCGTGGCCACAACTATCACTATGACTTCAAAAGTCCTCATAATTGCAAGTCTTTAATCTTTCGTAACGAATTCTAAACTTGTGGAATCTAACATCACTCAACCTTGTGGCTTTCAGTTCTTGCGTCTAGAAATAGAGAAATCCATATGATCATTAAATGAGGCAATGACATAAATATTAAATATATTAGTGATATCACGTTAAAATTGTCACTTAATGTCGGTCTTGGATATTTAAATTAATTTATGCACACTTTGATTAATTTTTTCTTCGATTCAATCAAAAAACAAATCATGCACGTCGAGATTAGAGTATAAGGTATTCATAAGGAACGGTATTTGGGTCAGCTTACGCGCACCTCTAATAATCCCTTTCCCGATTCGATCAAAAACAACCATCTACACCGAGATTAGGGTATTCATGAAAGATAAATCTCTCATAAGAGGACCCCAAGAGGTTGCTAAAATTCAAAATCAAAATGTCTAAATTTATAACTCATTCATATAATCATTTGAGCTAACTCTCAAGGTTTATGTGATATTACCGATTAATAATATGTAAACAAATAAAAAAATGAACCCCACACAAATTAATAACTATTTCTAAATATAAGTCAATAACTATCCACTATCTTTGCATATAAGTCAATAACTACTCAAATTAAGTTCACTTTATCCATTTAATATTTTATTATATATTATGTGATAATGCTGATATGCTATTACCATTACATTAATTCTTTGCTCACAAAGATGATGCCCGATATTAGGTTAGGATTTATGAAGTACGGATACGGATACGATACGATACAGGTACAGGGATATGACAAAACTAAAAAAAACAGGATACGGGTACGACTAGGATACGTCCATAAAATATATATTTTTTAAAATTTTATTATTATATTTAATGTAATAATTATGATTTATAAATTAAATCACATTTCTATCAAAGATATATAATAATAACTAACCATCAGAGTCAATCGATCGTTACTGTGAATGAGTGAGAGAGAGAGAGAGAGAGAAAGAGACGATCGTCGTCGAGTATCGACCGAAGGGAGTGGGGGGCTTGACGGGCTGTGGAAGAAAAGTGTACAAGTTTTAATCTTTTAGACTTTTAGTTTAATAATATATTTTTTTTTTTTTGCAAATAAGGGCCTAAATATATTGCTCTTATGCCCCTATACTTTTTTAAAATTCGAGTAATATCCTTATGCGTATCCTAAGCGTGTCTCACGCGTATCCAAAACCTATCCGGCCGTATCTGAAAACTAATTTTTTTTTTAAATTTTAGGATACTTCTCAAACATATCCGATACGTATCCGACGCGTATCCGTATCCAAAAATATCCGATATGAATACTTTGACCTTTTTGAAGTATCCGTGCTTCCTAGGTTAGGATGATACCAGAGGTAAGAGGATGATGTTGAGAACTAGAAAATGAAAAATAAACTAAAACGATCAGATTAATTATGTTTTGGCAAATAAAACTAATATTTAATAAAAAAAAAAAAAGGTATATATATATTGTGGTTCAAAAATGCCTAGCAGTTCTTAAGGATTTTATTTACAAAAGAAATACTCAAGGAAATAAAAAAATATATTATTACAATCTAAGATGCTAGTTAACTATACCTTTTACATCCCAAGAGATTAGGTGCAGGTCGATGAGTGATGAAGGGTAGAGTAAAATCCATCAATATCATCATTAATTCGTCTCGGTGACTCTTAAAAGGATCTTGTCAAGTTGTTCTTCTAACCCAGCATGGGAATATATAAACTAAGTGATCATTAACGGTATTTTAAAGCATATTTTGGTGGCTTATCCTTCAATTATATATATATAAAATAGGGAGATCAAAAAAAACTCCGTACTATAATCTATAATGAATACCTTTTACGTATACTGTTGGATCACGATTTAATGGTCACCAAATAAAAGTACTTAAAATTAATTGTCAAAATCTATCTAATTTAATTTTTAACTAAATAAGAAATGTTTACAACTTATTAATTGTAATCTAGTCTTATAAGAAAAACTTTTATGGTTAATAAAAAAATATTCTTTTTTTATTAATTAGTATTGAGCGGATTGAATCTAATAACTCATACAATTTTTATCTGATATCTATATTACTCATCTAATTTATTATACTCATTTGGGTTAAAAAAAAAACTAAAAATACTTCTCCAAACCCATCTCCTCTCGTGCTGATCTCCGGTCGACTACGACTCTTATATTCAAATCCTCCTCCTCATGTCTATATCTACGGCACAAAAGTTTGTAGCAGCGCAGCGGATCTACTATTGAGGAACAATTATTATTTTTTTTTTTATTTTGAACTGGAGCATGAATTTTAATCTAACATTGTCACTTGATGTATTAACGTTGTAATCTTCTAGTATAAATTAGGTTGATTAAAATATGAAGAGATAAAGATAAAGAGGACAAAGTTAATATAATTTGGGCAAATAATAAGTAAAACTAATTTTTTTTAAGAAATTATGATTAGTATACTATTACACTATCTAATGGAATTTAATTGGCCGTTTAAACGACCAAATTACTCCCAATTAAAGCTAGAATATATTGTGTTCATTATAGTTTGACCCCTTATTTGATTTTTTTAGTTTTATTCGAATAGATAGTATAATTGTATATTAATTATAATTTTTAAGAAAAAATTAAATTTTGATTTTTGATTTTATTTCAATAAATGGCATAATAAATGTTCTATTATGAATGATTTAGATATCTTGTTTGATTTTTTAGTTTTATTCTAATAGATAATATAATTATATACTAATTACGATTTAAAATTTTAATTATATTTCAATAAATAATATAATAGAACATGAATTTTAGTTATAAAATTTAAAATATTTAATATTCTATATTTAATTAGAGTATTTTTGTCATAAATATAACATTTTGAATTTGAGAGGTCTAAAAATTATACGCTTACAAATTTCAGAGGATCTGGATATAATTTAATAACAAACATTTGACGGTAGGATCTAATTATTACATGTATAGAAATTTCAGAGAGTTTATATATAATTTTTTAAATGTTAGAGAGTATGAGTGATTAAAAAACCTTAAGGGTGTAATTCTCTCTTATAATTAATAAATTATAGACATTTCCTATTTTAATTAAGAACTAAATTAAGTAGGTTTTGACAAATTGGCGACCATTAGATCGTGATCCAACAATATACGTAAAAAATACCTATTAAAAACTATGGTGAAGAGTTTTCATGATCGCGCTAGTGTATATATATATATATTTGCAGTCCCCAAAATGTTATTTTGCATGCATGGTTTTAGAGGCGCAAATGAAAATTGAAAGAACATTATTTTTTAAGTGAAACTTTGCCAAAGCTCTGTGACTTTTAATCAAATGATACAAAAAGGAGATGACAGATAAAGGAGGCTAACAGATACAATAAAGGTCCCAAAGAACAGCGACCTCTTTAGCAATTTAGCCTTGAAACTGGCAAACATATTGGAGAAGTCTCTCAGAGAGAGAGAGAGAGAGAGAGAGAGATGAAATGAAATGAAACTAGTTTTATCAAAACAGAAAAAGCGTGAAAGACAATCCTTAAAACACCTTTTTAGTGGCTTCATAAGATTCATTGATGACCTAACAGACTACTTTCCAAGTTAAGGTTGCTTATAAAAGCCTGTCATTTTCGTTGCAAGGTTTCACAAAAAACTAGCCTTACTTAGGTTGGGTGTGTCACAAACTCTCCATCAATTCAGTTCTTTCCATGAAAGTTGTTCCTTATAATCTAAAACCATCAACCTTGTTCTTCCTTACAAACTCAAGATGTGGGCAAGAATTACAGTTTCAAATATCACCAAAGGTTTGTTATTCTCAACTTTCGCTTTCAATAAAACTCAAAGTATATACCTAAGTCCTCATGATGGTTGTACAATTTCTTTAAGTTTCCTCATCTCTCTCCTCTCTCTCTCCCTCCCTCCCCTCCCTTCCTCCTTCCTTCCTCGTTTTTACATGGTGTCTACATATCAAGTAAGATGAACATGAAATATAAGTCTAGCTTTCTATTAGCTTTTCCCAAATCTGTTAATTTACAGTTCTTCATCAACAAGATAGGCATTTAGTGTTGATTTTTTTGATAGCATGGCGTTTTAATATTGATAATTTGTAAAAATGAACTACATTAATTTTTGGTTTCAGATGGGAAGAAGAAGAGAGAGGCTTGTAAAAACCTCAATGTCAATGATGAATATCTTATGGCAGTGAGAACAAAATCTTATATTGATTTCTTCACCAAAGCTCAATTCCTAGTGAACGAGCCATCATCTCCATCTCACTGTCATCACAGATTCTCAGAGATTCTCCTTGAACCTGGACAAGAGACTATAGCAGCAATCCTTGAATCTGCAATCCTTTCAAAGAAGTCTGATCTCAAAGCCCTTCTCTTCAATTACTTTGAAATTAGTGCTGAGGCCTCCAAAATCTGCAGCCACCTACTCAAAAGCATCAACCAAGTTCAATCCAACTACAAGTTCATTCAACAAGTTCTTGACACCATTGATGACTGTTCTGATCCCAAGCAATTTGACTTTATTATTTCCGAGCTACATTCATTCATTATTCTCAACAACCCGTTTTCCAATCTTAACAACAAGATTTCAAAAAAGTTCATGACAAGCACTCCTCAGTTTTGCAGCACCTAAAAGCAAAGAGAAAAAAAGTTGCCAGGAAGATTAAAATGATAAACTGCTTTAACAAGGGTTCTGGGATTTGTGTAACAGCAGCTTGTGGTTTGGTTGCTATAACTGCTATGGTCCTAGCAGCACATACACTCAGTGCACTTCTCTTGGGACCTGCGATTTTCGTGTTACCTGTAAAGCCATTAAAGAAGAAACTGCTCAATTTTAGGTTTTTCAGAAGTGGGTTTCTGAGGAAAATTGGAAAACAACTTGATGTAGCAGCTAAGGGCACTTATATTTTGAATAGGGATTTTGACACAATGAGCAGACTTGTGTCTCGCCTTCATGATGAGATTGAACACAATAAGGCAATGGTACAGTTCTGTTTGGAGAGAAGTGAAGATAAATTGTCTCTGCAGGTATTGAAGGAGCTGAAGAAGAGTGATTTTGGGCTCAGGAAACAAGTAGAAGAGCTTGAAGAGCATGTGTATTTGTGCCTTATGACAATTAACAAGACTAGAGCTTTGGTGATTAAGGAAATCTCAACATCTTGTGTAGAAGATTTACCACAGTAGTCAGGAGTGAACGTTGTACATTACATTTATATTGTAAATATGATTATTTTCACTGAATTATGGACTTAGATTATCTTTCCAAACTATGAGAATTTGCTTTTGTTTTGTGTTTGTAAGAGCAGTCTGATCCCTTATTTGATCGGACTGCTCCTAATGTTCAAACTAGTCTTTAACGGTCACGTAAACAAAAAATTTGAATTTTAAGCAAGTATGTGATCAAAAATGTCCCTATATAAATATTGCCACGTTATTTGATTCTCTTATTTGATCGTATGTTTTACTTAGTATAGCATTACATATGATTAATTAAACATCTTGTACGTTTCGTATGATTTATATCAGTCGCTAATGGAGCATGAGACATGGGATCTCAAGGTGCATTACAGTAACCTTTTTAGCCTATTCATGTGCCATGGACTGATTGGAGATTAATTCTGTTTTTCTTGGTAAGTCTGATTTGAGATTGTTGGTGGGGATTTGACGCTTATAATGAGATAAGTAAATCACGAAGACTCAAGCCAACAAAGAAAAGACAGAGTTTGACAAGTGACTCAGGAGAAGCTGGATAATAAGGACATGACGTAACTGTTTTCTTTTAGCTCTGGTTTTTCTTTTTTTCTTTTTCTAACATGAAGAAAATGATATGTACAAACCATAATTTTCTATACCTAAAAAAAAATTGGGTAAAAAACAGGCTTATTTCCTAGTAAATTAGGTTATTCCCCAATTGCTATTTAAGTATGTGATCACTCGACATTGTAATGTTGTAACAGCAAGCCCCCCTCCGCTTGAAAAACATAAGTAGCATTTACATTATTGCTATCTCCCAATGACTCATTGAAAGCAAGTATTGCTATCTCCGCCCTTAATCCTTCATTCGAATGAAATAATTCCGTACAAATATTCTCCATTCCTCCTCCTCCTCCTCCTCCTCCTCTTCTTCTTCTCTCCTCTCTCTCTCTCTTATACACACACAAATAGACACGTGGGGAAACGAGATTAGTGTAAACTCAAGGTCGAGAATTTTATCTAAACTCAAGCTCAAACTTTATATAGCTCAACTTAACAATGTATTGCACCAACATTTTGGGACTCAAACTTTATATGGCTCAAATTTGAATTATATATTTTGGTCGAATAATCAAGATTTGAGGCTGCTCAAAACAGAAAGACTGTTCAAACAAAGGGAGAGTGATATCCTCTCTAATACATTTTCTTTTCAATTCTTTTTTTTGTACATCACATACTATAAAGCAAGAGGAGAAGTTGGGGGGAGGGAGGGGACGAAAATTAGCAAAGGGAGGGGAAGACCCAACAAGTAGTAGTTTTTTTTTTTTTTTTTTTTTTGGGGGGGGGGGGGAAGGGGGCGATTCCATGAGGGAGAGTTTTGCTTTTTATTATTTATTTTACCAGAGGACCAACTTAAGGGTAGACCATACATTTTGTTTAATGCGTTGATACCAACAAACTTAAATTTTTTTATTGGACTCTTGTTCTCATTTATAAAATACTAGCGATAGCATGAGATATATGATCAATCGTCTTTGTTTTTCCGTTTTAAATATGGCAAGATGATCAAAGAATAAATTCAAATTTCAAGGGCAGTATTATGATTTAACCTTAATTTCTTCTTTTTTTTTGGATACAATCCCTTATTTTCTTTTGTTTGTCTTTTCACTTGCCCTTTCTCTGTTTACTATAATTTTTTCCAGGTTTGTTAATCTCATCTCATGTTCCTCCCAAAACCTTACTTTTAAAATCCATAATTTACTTCCTCGTTCGTTGCCATATTACTCTAACCTTTTCCATGTTTCTTAATCACTTACTCACTGGTTCCTCCACAACCCAACAAAGAAGCTTCTTCAACTTGCCTATGCAGTCCTTACTTCAAACCATACAAATTTCCAAAAGGTTTAATCTGCGGTTTTACTTCACTCCTCTTTATTCTTCTACTTATTCCATTGACTACAAATTCTTTACTCTATTTTCTTACGATTTTTCTAATTTGTAATGATTGGTAGTTGATAATCTAGTTGTATATTATTTCGCAAAAGTTTCTTTTTGTAGCTATTTTTTCCCTAGTTAGTGGGCTGTGAAGTGTTATTTAGCTTTAATTGGTTTCAGATTATGTCATTCTGTTAGGTGTGTCCATGGATCGGGTTATTCACGGGTTTTGTTATTTGGCTCCAAAAAAATAGGCCCGATAGTTGGCCCACCTTAGTTCAACCCAATATCTTTAAAAAGAGAGCTTAGGTTTGCCTCTAAACCCATTACCCTACCCAATAGCCCGTTCGAAAAAACTCGGCCCAAGAGTTCGCACATCCTTCCTTCGACAAAAAATTATACTTTTATAACATTAAATTTGAAACTTTGAAATAAGTCTCCCATTATCAAAATTTGAAGTCTTAAAAATTTAGATACTATAAATAAATGTATTATTTTTTCTTCCATGTATTAAGCATACAAGTTTTAAAGGGTAGAGTAATGCAAATAATAGATAAGTGTGTAGGTGTCAATTTAGTTAAAATGTATTCATTCTATTCTATGTAGTTCATCTTCTAATCAACAATAAAATTATTCATTATTTTATTTTTATCCATTTTGACTCCACTTTTGATTTAAAAATATAATTTACATAAATATTAAGTTACAAAAATATTCATTATTTTTAAGTAAAGTTGTATATAAAAAAAGCCCGCCCAAAAAGCCCGTCTAATATACTCACGGGTTCGGCTGCGAGTAGCCTACCTCTACCCAGAGCCTAACCCGGCCCGCCTAATAATTCACTTGAGTAAGGGTTTGGACTTACACTACCCAACTCCAAAAAAAAAATTCACGAGCTTACCCTGGCCCAGCCCATGGACACCCCTACATTGTGTGGTGTGTAAATCATCAATCTTTCTTGAATTTAAAGAAGAAAAAACAAAGGCGTTTTCAAAATTCTTAAATACTTTTTTCAATTCTATATCCAAATTCATACTAAATTGAAGGAAGCTCAAAATTTTACACAAATTAAAAGAGATTTAAACCTTTACTTAAATTATTACTGATAAGATTTTATTCTCTTTTAAAGATCTAATGAACATATTTTACCCATTTTAAATTTGAGTTTGTCCTCCTTTATATTTGAGTTTATCTATCAAAACCTTTTGTATCAAATCTAAGTTTTTTACTTAAATATTGACTAAAATTTAAGAAAAGAGTAATACTACGTGAACTTAAAATGCTGACTTGATTTATTACTATCATTGATTTAACTGTAGATCTCAGTATTTATTAGAACTCATTATTTATTCAATGGTTGTAACTGATTAAATCAATAAATTAAGTGAGTATTTTAAGTTTAAGTAACATTTTCCCTAAATAGAAGTTTGAGTCAAGGTTGGAAATAAACCATCAGATAATAGTAATAGTATACCTCTCATATTTCGTCTAACCTCTCTCATTTAGGCTTGTCAAACGGATCGGGTTTAGATTGATTATGACTAATTCGAGTTTGAATCAGATCTAATATTTCGATAAATTTTATTTTTCGTTGTCTATATCCGAATTAGTTAATAATTTGAGATCTAATTCAAAAATTTGATTTAATTTAAATAACTTAATTAACTAAATTTATTTAAATAATCACTTAATTTTTTTAATATTTATATAAAAATATATAAATACTTTAGATCGAATCTAATTTTGAATCTGTGAAAAGATATCGAATTTAAATTGATAAAAAAATATCTATAATAATAAAATAGAATTCAATTTGAATCTTTTTCTACTTCAAAATTTAATTTAATTTTAATTTATTTGAGAAAGCACAAGAACGGCTCAAATTCATTCTAATTTTAACTCAACGATCTAGATTTTATCTAATTCTTCCAATTGGATCTAATGTCCCACAATTCATCTCACTTAAAAAAAAAATTCCGCCCAAATGGAACCCAACCCTTGCACGCTACCCACCCTTGCAAGCCCTGCACTCTACAATGACCCAACAACTATTCTCTCTCTTCCAGAAGATCAACTTAGACGCGTTCTCTCTCTCTCTCTCTCCCCCCTGGAAGACTGCTCACCTCTCACTCCTCTACCATGGCTCAACACAGTGGCGATCAAGCAACTTCCAACGATGACAGTTCAGCCCAGATATCTCCCTCTCGTTCTCTCTCTCCAATCGATCTCTCTGTCTCACAACTCTCACCTCTCTTTCACACACACACACACACCAGCACACAAATATATGTACACACACATTGCACATAAACACAGCAGCACACACACACACACAGAGATTGTCACTGAAAACTACTACCATCACCAATCTCCCCTATAATTTCATGATCACCTTCCATTCCCAACACAAATCACAACTTTGACACTTTTAAAAAAATATATAATTTTACAAAATCTTACATATCTATTTTGAACATTACACATTTTCAAAATAACTCATATACACACTAAAAATACAATTTGTACCATTTTATAGCAAATTTCACAAATTAAATGATTAAGAAGTTGTATAGATCAACACCACCTTTTCCATACTTTAAAATAGCTCAACAATACCCCAAATCATGGTAAAATATACTCAATTACATCATAAAAATTAATACCTCTTTCCACAATTTTTTATTTTAATACTTATACTCATTTTGTCATTTTATCAAATACATGATGGACATAAAATCTCTAAATACACATTTACAAAGGACTATACTCATTCTTAAGAGACAAATCAAATACATTATATACAAAATCAAATATATTCTAAAGAATCCAAAATCTTAAGTTCAATCAAACACCCATAACAAAAATCAAACTATGGTTTCAAACCCACAATACCCAAATTCATTTAATACATGTAGGTTTACAAATTCATAGTAAACTTATCATTTAATTAAGACTCGTAACATGTATTTAGTTCATACTAAACAAATAGATATAAAGCATACATGAGATGCATCAGTATATATGCAAGAGAAAAGAAAATCTTACCTTAAAACTCAAGAACTCAAGTTTCACCTTCAAATAGCCAAGTAGATCCAAGAATCTCAAGTAATGTTCTTAGATTTTCAATCAAAAATTCAAGCTCTAGAGACCTTGTTTTTTCCTCTTCTCTTTCCTTTCATCTTGTCCTAGAGTTCTAAGAGGAATTGGGTCAAAATGGAAAGAAATAATGGGACAAATGGGGCTGAAAATAGTGTTTTAATACTAACAAATTCCGAATTTTACTTTTCATAGGGCCAAAAATTGTATTTTTCTCTGAAATTACGATTTTGTCATTAAATATCTCAAATTTAAACTTTATGATTACCCTAAGATTTTTTTTGACGTTCCAAATTCATTTTTAATGTTATTTTAACCTAAAAATATTTAGTTTTATGGTTTATCTTAAAACTAAAGTTAATTTACACCCGAAACACTAAAGTTACCATTTTACCTCTTCAAACCATTAAATGTGCTAAATGTCTATTTCAAAGTTTTTGGACCTCTCGAAGTCAATTGTAATGTTATTTTGACCTAAAAAAATTAATATATTTACTTAGTTACCCTTATCAACCTTAAACACCTTCAAAAATTAAATTTTACTAAAAAGTCAATACATTTGTACCTCAAACTTACGCAACTGTTCCTTTAACAACAATTCGAAGTTTCTCTCATCATTTTAATCATTAAAAAAATACTATTAACTTAATATCATATATATGAAATATGGGATCTCATAGTTAATGATTAGTTTCCTTGGGCAGAGTCTTGATCTAAAAATTCAGAGTCTTTATTGATTTCTTTGAATTTATAGTTTGAGTTCTAACTTATTATTTTTGGATCGTGTTTGATAAAGGGTGAAACTAAATTTGCGATTTGTATTGCTTCGATTTCAAAACTTCAATAATTGATTTTATTGGTTGTCTATAATTCTTAAAGTTGGTGAACCAAGTGACGTGGTGAATAGAAGTTGAGCCATTCTATTCACAATGGCGCACACACTCACACAACACATTTAATTAGCATTTTATAGGTTATCTATATTTCTTGAGGTTCTATTTTTAAGAAATTGTCAAAATTGTGTAAAATAACAAAAATATGTTTTTATTAAATATTGACTATTTTTTTATTTAGCATAATGCCCTTTACGTAAATATTTATATTGATAATACTTGGTTGAGTATGTATGCAAAGTGTGGGTATGTTAAAGATGCAACTTAGGTTTTCAGCGTAATTTGTGTCCTTGTTCAGTGTTTGATTTTTGTTGAGTCCACAATCAATGTTTGATTTTTTTTATGAATTGTATGATATTTTTAGGCATAGTTTATCACTATCTATAATAATAAGACACAATCAAAATTAAATCAGTTAAAACTTAGAAATACTTAGGCGTCACTACTCACACATGAATTTGTGCATGTTCTCCTTGATGTTTATGATTGACCAACTAGATTGAAAATCAATGATGATGTCTGGTATTTATTTTTCTTCTTTCATTGTGTTCAAGATCAATGTTCACTTTTTTTGAATTAAATCGTGCTTTCAGATACGAGTTAAAGTTCATTCCAATTAGACATTTGTCTGGTAGTAACTCCTAACTCTAAAGAAGATGATGATGAAGGAAGTTTTTTCTGTCTTTGTGCACGTGTGTGTTTTTTGTGTGTAGTTTGCATGTGTTTTGTTTATTATGTGTTTAATATGATAAACTAATTACACATGGTTATGAGAATATGTTTGATTTTGATGTGAATTAATAGTTGGGTATGGATTTGAGTTGTGATGTATGATAATTGTGGTGGAAATAAAATTAAATTGTAGTGATACAAGTCATTATTATGATTGTTTTGTATAATTGTGAGTTTTGTAGATTAGTTAAAATTGTTTTGGACTCCTATTTTTACTGAAAGTTTGGTTGAAATTTTTGAAAAATTAGTGAGAAGTAGATTGATTTTAATTTATTTAATTGAAATAAATGATGTAAAAATTATTTTAAATTGATGGTTTAGTTTAGGTGCAAAGTGTTCCCGACACTATAGTATTTTTCAAATTTTAATTCAATTTTTGGCCGCAGACAATTACTGGTTAATTTATATTCAACGAATCGAGATTCGGATCCTCCATTACTGGTTAATCTCCCATTCGTTCATCTCATCTCATCTCTCACTGCAAGTGCAGATTGGTGTCGAAGTGAACACCTTACAATCTTGTCTCATTGATTGGTTTCTTTCAACGAAAATGTTGACCTGAGTGAGTGGATTTTTTGGCTTTAGTGTCTAGGGTTTGTGAATTGTAGGTCTAGATTTTTTTTTTTTTGTAAATCGATAATACTTTTAGGAATTTATTGGTGGAACCAAATCAATTTTACCCTGCGAATTGCATTCAATCAGCTCAGTGATTTATTATTTTGTAATGGCTTTCCAGTATGGCTTGCACTTTGGCATTTGATGTGTGCGAGTGACAGAACATTTTGATATATTTGTGGTTTCCAATTTGAGGTAGTGTTCTGCTAAAAAAATTGGAGTTTTTGGTGTTTGAAGGTTGAATTTATGTGTATTTTTTGTTCATTCTCTTATTCCTTGTTTTGGGTTTGTTGAATGTTCTCGGCTCAACCCGAATTACGACGATAGAGAAGAGAGAGAGTGGAAAATGTTGAAGTTCTTGTCGAAAGTGAGAATCGAATTCAATGCCTTAGACCCACGCACGGCGGCGTGTATGGAGTTATTGGCCCAGTGTAACGCCCGCAAGGCCAAGGAATCGAACCCAGCATGTCAACTAGTCGTCAAGCGCCGAACAGATGACCACCCACCACAGATCACCGTGACCTTCGTCAACGGCGTAGAAGAGGTGTTCGATGCCACATCCACCGCCGCACAGACCATCCGCGACATGATTCTCGAAAAGGGTCAGCTTCTCGAGACCGAGCAAATGTTTAGCGAAGCCGGTGAGAAATGGCCCGTCGTCATTCCCGAAGAAGAACTTCGTCAGCCAGCCCCTGGTACTAAGGTAATTTCTTGTTTGTATCTCTTTGCATTGTTTTTAATTTTTAATTGATATGTATTTTTCGGTTGAGACTATTAGTCGAACAGTTGGTGTTCTTTCTTATTTAGCTTTGAAATCTTTGTTTACTGGTATGTGTTCAATCCTTTATGATGGATTACTAATTGTTGTCTGACTCTTCGTCAATAATATCTTTGATTGGTTCAAATTGTTATTCTTGTTGATTTTGATACGGTGTGTATCTTTCAAGGATCTATTTTTGTTAAATAGATAGTAATTACTGATTCATGTTGGCGAATATTAAGTACTTTGATTTCTGTTTTAGTTTCATGGTTGAGTTTGGGAATTCTTGTTTCTCATAATGATCATGGCCCACACTACTCTTAGAAGTTTTTATTTTGTTTCGGTCTTGAACATTATGTTATTCCTGGTTATGTGATGTGTTCTGTTTGGATCCTGGCTGTTATTGGGTCTTTACATTGTCTTTAGTAGGTCTATGTTAGTTTGAGTGGTCAGTTGCAATCCTAGTTGGATGGTTCTTGGAGAACCGCAACACTTAAATTTACCCTCTCTAGTTTAAAGGAGTTTAAGTTATAAATATTTTATAGTTTTTTTATGTGACATAGCTTAAGCCCAAGAGCTCTATGACTTTAATTTTTTTCTTCATGTGAGCCCAAAGAACTCTAGGTAAGAGCATTTTACCTTACCAGCACAAGGCCAGGGTAGGTTTATTGATCCTTGCAGAAGGAAAATGTGACTGAATGATGAGCAGTTGGTTTTCGGGATTCATAGAGCTTTGCGATAAATATTGCTAGAGCGAATTATACGTTCTGGAACTTGTGCATTCAGTGTGCATTGTCTTACAGAAACTTCTATGAAGTACATGTCCCTGGACTAATGGAACAAAGGAGATATCTGAAAATGTAAATCTCCGAATAACAATTTCCTGTCTGAGTTCTTGGCAAACTGAAACTGTTACTACAGGTGCTAAGTTTAACTACCGAGTCCACCCACATCAGTTGGATCTAATAATTGTAACAATCTTGCTTGTCGTTTTCTTCTAATGAAAGGTGGAAACCAATATGGCCACTGATATAATTGGATAACTCATACCAAAGTTGAGTTGATTTCTGAATTCTGATCTCCTCTGCAGCCTTTGGATGGTTAGAGCCAAAACTTTTTGCTTATATGGCATGCACATACTATGAGATCAAAGGATAATTTTTAATGACTTTTATGATAGTTAATATTCTTGTGGTGCCGTGTCTTTCCTCTTTATTTTTCTTAATATTTATTTATTTCAGCCAAGGAAAGCCGAAGAAAAGAAGCAGTAACTGCATCTTGTTGAGTCAGCATATTGCTTGGGATCATTTTGCTACTCAGCCGTGCCTCTATACCAGCTCAACGACATTGTAATTGGATAGTTCATTCTAGTCAGATAGTTGTTATCAAATAAACATTACTCAGGTTTTAGGTTGTCTTTGCTGCTGCTCTGTATGCTTGCTTGTTTAGTGAGGCATTAAATGTTTAAGTTGAAGGCTTGCTGCTAGATTTTCTGCATGTATTTTGGGCTCAACTATTTTATTTTGAAACTTTAATTCACCCCCTTTGTGACTATGGGTGATATAGTTGGGCATTTCTTAACACTGAAAGTGGGTTTATGATTGTATTTGACTCATCTGTTTTGCTTCATTTAATGGGAAACTAAAGCTACTGAGGATTTTGTTAGTGGTAAATACCTTGTGGAGAATGGTGGTCTCCAAAATAATATGAAAAAATGAAAGAATTTAGAGCGTTTCATGGAGCCAGGCTCAAAAACTTTGGATGGTCTTTCTGCCCTTTTTTAAAAATAGTCTGAAATAGGACACAACTCGTTTTTTTTCATTTTATATTCATGTTACGTTGCACATTCATGCATCAGAGTACAAATTGCATATGTATTTATATGATTGACCACTACTGGCCTATTCTATGTCTTCCCTTTTATATGGTAGTTGAGTGTGAATGCACTCTTCAATTTTCTCTCATCCTTCCAAGCTGGAAGGACATTAAATATAAATCTAGGTCTGTTTACACTACGTATTCATTCATGTTGCTTTTTCCAAGGCTGTTAATTTATAATTTTTCAATTTGATCCTTGGACAGGAGTTTTAATGTTGACAGCTTACAAAAAGTGACAACATTAATTTTGGGTTTCAGATGGGAAAAAGGAGAGATGCTTGTAGAAACCTCAATGTCTATGAGGAATACCTTAAAGCAGGGAGAACAAAATCTTATGGTGATTTCTTCACTAAAGCTCAACTGATAGTAAACGAGCCATCGTCCCCTTCTCATTGTCCTCACAGATTTTCAGAGATTCTCCTTGAACCTGGGCAAGAGACTTTATCGGTAATTCTTGAATCTGCAATCCTTTCAAACAAGTCTGTTGATCTGTTCTCAAAGCCCTTCTCTTCAATTACTTTGATATTAGTGCTGAGGCCTCCAAAATCTGCGGCCACCTACTCAAAAGCCTCAACCAAGTTCAATCCAACTACAGATTCATTCAGCAAGTTCTCGACACATTCGATGACTGTTTTGATCCCGATCAATTTGACTTAGTATTTCGGTGTTGCATTCATTCATTGTTCTCAACAACCCATTCTCTAATCTCAACAACCAATTCTCTGAAGGTAGTTAATGAGAAATATTCCTCAGTATTGTCGCACCTAAAGGCAAAGAGAAAAAAGGTGGCCAGGAAGATTAAATTGATAAACTGCTTTAACAAGGGTTCTGGGATTTGTGTGACAGCAGCTATAACTGTTATGGTCCCAGCAGCACATACACTCACTGAACTGCTCTTGACACCAGTGATTTTCGGGTTACCGATGAAGCCAGTGAAGAAGAAACTGCTCAATTTTAGGTTTTTCAAAAGTGGGGTTTCTCAGGAAAATTGGAAAACAACTTGATGTAGCAGCTAAGGGGACTTATATTGTGAATAGGGATTTTGACACAATGAGTAGACTTGTGGGTAGTCTTCATGATGAGATTGAACACATTAAGGCAATGACACAGTTCTGTTTGGAGAGGAGGGAAGGGAGATTTTCTTTGCAAGTGCTGAAGCCTGAAGGAGCTTAAGAAGAGATAAGTTGGGTTCAGGAAACGGGTAGAAGAGCAAATGTTTATTTGTGCCTTGTGACAATTAATAAGACTAGAGCTTTGGTGATTATGGAAATCTCAAAATTCTTGTGTGGAAGATTTAGCACAGTTGTCAGGAGTGCTGTCTGATCTTATGTGTTAGTCGGTGTATCATTACATAAAATTAAACATCTTGTCTGCTGTGATGTATATAAGTTCCTAATGGAGCAGGAAAAATGGGATCTCAAGGTAAAATACTATAACCTTTTTAGTCAATTGGGTATGTGCCATGGACCGAATTGAGATAATGTCTTTGTTTGTGTTGGTAAGTCTGATTTGAGATTATTCGTGGGAATTTGAGGACTCAAGGCAGTAAAAAAAAAGACACAGTGCTGTATGGTTTTGTAGTATTCGACAAGTGACTTGCGAGAAGTTGAACAATAAGAACATGACATATTGTTCTCTTTTAGCTGCTACATGAAAAACATCAAAAAATCAAAAGTTAACATCTCGTGAAACTAATATTTTCATCAAACATAACAGTTTTGAAGAAAAAAAAAAGTCCAAAGAATAGAGCAAATGACCCAACTTGTATGTCTGGAATAATACATACATACCAATCCAAAAGCTTAATCATATCATGTATATATATATATCCATCAAATTCTCATTCCGATGTGAGATGGAACTCACAAGTGAAGCTCAACATTGACATGGACATTGAGTCAGCAATAAGCTTGCTTCTTTCACCATATCAAGAAGATGGGAACCAGTTTAGAATCTCACTCTGATTTTTGCATTTTGTAACTCATGCAAATTAGAGCCCGGGAAAAGCCAGTTGATGTTCCAGCTCTTGTCTATTCATTTTTTTTTCTTCACAATTAACAAGCTTATTTCCCAATTGCTATTTAACATTTTCATACATGTCCTGCGATCACTTGACATTATAATGTTATAACAACAAAACACCCTCCCCTCCCCCAACACGCACGCACACACAAAAATTTTTTTGGGGTAAAGAACAAGCTTATTTTCTAATGAAGTGGGTTATTCCGCAATCGGTATTTAACATTTCATACATACCCGCAATCACTTGACATTGTAATGTTATAACAACAAAAGCCCCTCCTCTTCAAAAACATGAGTAACATTAACATGTCGGACTTTCATAATCATAAATCATCTCAGATAAAAAAAAATTGTAAATCTTCCCAAAATTTCCAAATAACTCCCTATTTCTCATTGAAATAAATTATTGCTATCTCCAACCTTAATCCTTCTTTCCAATAAAATTCCTCCATAAAAATTCTCTATTCCCCCTCCTCCTCCTCTCTCTCTCAGTCACACACACACACACCCCCAAGGGTTGAGCCAATAATTTTGTCCAAGGCGGGTATTCTAACTAAAAGTTTTTAATTTTTTTCTACAATAGATAAAAATGTCGATGTACAAGTGTGTATATATATATAGAACCCTTCACAAAAAATGAGGCCAATTGAGATATCATTCACAATTTAACCTTCATACTTTGAAAGTATTATTTTATAGTTTCATTATCAATGAAGCAAAAATAATTTTAATATATATATTTTTTTTGGGGGGAAGGGGGAGGGGAGAGGGGGAAGGGGATGCGGGACTTGATCCCTTGACCTTAAAGAAAGTAAAATCTTTAGAAGATAAGAAGTACCATTCAATTAAAGGCCCTCATGATCAATTATTGATCACTCATTTGTTTAATTGTGAAATGAGTTTAACTTGTCAACAACTTATTTAAATATGTTTGCAACGTGTTTGAAATATGTGCCAAATATATAGTCATTTTAACTATGGGTCATACTAATTGATAGCATACGAAAATGCTAAGGTTGGGTTATTTAGATATACCTAAGAATTAATTGAAATACATATATATAGGTAATATGTTTTAAAAAAAATTCAAGGTGGGCCAATGCCCCCTAGTCCCTTTTCTGGCTCCGCTACTATACACATATGGGAAAACAAGATTACCATAACATGATCCAAATTTAATTCAAGCATGAATTTTACCCAAACTCATGCTAGTGCTGACTGATTGATGAAAATAAAGTCAGCCTGTTAATAGATAAGAGGACTAAGCATACTTCGAATGCAATAAAAGAGCTTGATTGAGATTGTGAGTCCATTGTTGGGAGACTCGATGAGAAGACTCATCTTTCTCTTCCGCAGGCCTCAAGTTAGAAAAAAGTTGTGGCTAACAGTTGGACTATTCAATGTTGACTACAGAAAAAAAAAAGAAAGAAAAAAAAAAGAAAGAAAGAATAAAAGAATGTGTTCAAAAAATGTTGACTACAGGTTCTCAACAACACCATTAAGATAAAGAAAGAAAATCCATTCTCTTTTCTATAGAGAATAGCAGCGGAGCGCCGTGATAGATAGAGTATTGCTTGCTTGACTTTTTTTTTTTTCCTAATCACTTGCTTTACTTGAACAAGAAAGAGGTTTGCTTTGCTGTGTCATGCCCTATAGAAGAGTAATGGGAAGCTCGCCATAAAAGTAAGGAAGCAAAAGGTAATAGAGGACATTGAGAGCGCTATTCTTATTTCTAGCCGACCAATTTCTTCAAAGGAACGGAATTCAAGTTTCCGACCCAGAAGGAAAAAAAAGTTTCAGATATTTATCTCTGCTTTTGATTTTTTTTTGATTTCATCCGACTGTCACTCTTCTTCCTAACTTTTTGGAACTCAAACTTTATATGACTGATTCTGAATTTTAGTTGGTCAAATAAGTATGATTTCAAGTTGTTCGAAATATAAAGACTGTTCAAGTAAATGAAGAGAAAGGGTTTGAGTGTCCTATGAGGCGAGGGGAGAAGCTTAAGGGTTTGCTAGAGAATGGGCTTTTGGTCGTTTTTTTTTTTTGGGTAGGGAGGGGGGGAGAAGAAAGGATCGACGAAAGGAAAAAATAGCGTTGTTATGTGGTGTAACGGTCCACTAATATATAAACAAATCAGTAAATAGGCCCCATTAAAATTTATAACCGCACAACTATGTCATACATAATCACTTTCATAATAGGAAGTTAGCATTATTTTATCATTTTTGTTCTTTTCTTATTAAATAGTTACACCATGTCATCAATTATGACATAGTGTAATAGTTATACCCAATATTTATTCCGAAGAAAGAGTTTAGAAAGGAGGAGAGTATCCGATGAATACATGAATAGGAGGGTTTTGGGGGATGAGATGATTCCATGGAGGAGGATCTCGCTTTCCTTTTATCATTTTGGTTGTAAATCTTGATGTAGGTTTTTCATTACTTTTGTTTTATTTCTTTGTTTTTTCTCATCCTCGATATTGTATTAGCTCATGAGGTAAATTCCGTTATGTTCCCTATCTTTAGGTTGTAAAAATCAATTATGATGGACCAACTTAATCGTACCCCATACATTTTGTTTAATTCGTTAATATTAACTAATTTTATTTTTTCTATTGAAGTTTTGTTCTCATTTATAAAATACTAGCAATCGCCGCTGAAGGAACGACGTAACAAACAAAAAAATTGAGAGCAAATACACGTGCATTAAAAGATTGTATGCCATAAAAAATTGCCAATTAGAAAAACTAAGAAAAAACATTGATAAATATAATATGAGTCAATTAATTTTTTTAAAAAAATTGATAGAATACAAATCAAAACAATCTCAAACATTGTTCAATGACCGTTTAATTATTGATTAAAATTCAAATGATAGTAAATTCAAAAATCATTGTGGTATGAAAACAATCAGATAAATATGAAATAGAAAGCAAAGAAGGGGGATTAAGAGATGAATTGTAACAAAAAATATAATAAACAATATCAACAAAACATAAATCAATTAAAACTAAATTTTTAATACTCTATCGGGTTAAATTACACTTTTTGTTCTCATAGTATGCTGATAGTTTAGAGAATGCGCGTGCCTCTAAATATAATATTTTTTTTTCTATTCTTCCAAACAATTACAACTAAGTTCTCTCTTAAAATAAGACCATGCAAAAATATAAAGATGTTTAAACCTTATCAAGTAAATATATTTTTTATATATCATACTTAAACATATTCGTAAAGAGATAGTATGCTATCAATGAAAATTGGTCTTGATCAAATTTTTATGATTAAATCCAACTACGCTAACATTATCAAATTAAAAAATTGAATATATAAAATTTGAGTCTTATAAAGAATTCAAGCAAAATCCTTTAAAAACACAACTATACAGAACTATTATCACTAATACCACCATTATCATTATTACCACTTAGCCTAAATTTGATAACTAATCAAATTTTGTGCTCAAATTGAAATTAAATCTAACCAAATCAATTAGTTAAATTAATTTTGTTATTCAATTCAAATCAAATTTCATCAACTAAGTTAATTTTATGTTGCACAAATTTGTCTCAAGAGTTTTACCCCACCATCACCCATCCATCACAACTTCGAGATTAACTATTATCACTAAGACTACCATCATTTATTACTTTCAAACCTAAAAGATATCTTCAGCAACCATTGATACCACTTCAAAAAAGCGAGCTTACTTTTAACTACAAGCCAAGCCAAATAATGTATCAAATTGGCAACAAATTAAATGAACTATAAGACATATTGACAACAAATCAAGTTGAATTTCAGTATACTACAGGAATAGTGTATAACTTGTAAAATTTATGAATGTGTACAAAACATTAAATTGAAGTCAAGATTTAAAATTTTTTAGAGAGAAAATAATATTTAAAAACATAGACACTACAACTTAAAGAATCCTAAATAACAGTATGAAGAACTCGTTAAATATTGTGCATACACCTCAGAGTGGTTCCTATCATTTTTTCTTTTGATGCAAACCATTTTCAAATGTGCCAAAAAAACAAAAGGCTTGACTCTTGATCAAAAGGGCTCCTTGGTTCTTTCAGAATTCTTTGCAGTTTTTGGATAAAATAAACACCCAAAATAGATAAACTCATCATTGTTCGCAAATGATTGCTTAGCCTGAACTAATCTTAGGTCCTCATATCCTACAACGTACATAAAAGATTATAAATAACCTAAAAATATGTAAAATTAAAAAAAATAAAAAACTCAAACCAATAAACCACTTTTTTAGGAGATCATCGTACCGTTGGAGTTATGCCATTGCTAATCGCTGGAGCTACGCCGTTGTGCTATAGATGATTTCTGTAACAGACAAAGTAAGTTCGCTAAAAAATAAGGATAATGTTGGCTCGCTCATTGAAGCAATAATACAAACACTTGGTATTTTGGTGACTGTGGTGAATTTCGGTAGCAATGTGTGCGTGTGAGAGTGGAGAGACATTTGTTGGCTAGGGAGATTTCGGTGGCAGTGGTAGGAACTGGGGAGGAGGGGGGTGAAGGTGCTGGTTAGCTACAAGTAAAAGTTTGATTTTAGATATACAAGGTGTTTGGTGAACTGTTATAAGTTTCGGTGGCAGAGGGGAGAGGGAAGGAAGTGGTAGTTGCGGTAAAGGGAGACATACACAAAGAGAGAGGGGGAGGGATACTTGGGTGAGGCTTAAAGATTGTCGATGGTTGATTACTATGTCTACGATGGTGCTTCCATAGTGTTGCTGTGAAGAGAGAGGGTTTCAGTGAGGAGAGAAAAATAGAGAAGAGAATGGGGAGCCGGTGGCTCTAGGAGCGGCTCAAGCCAATTTGAGACCTAAAACATAAATATTAAATGGAGGATTTTTTATTTTTAATATTCTATGTGAGAGGGAGACAAAATAATGATGAGTTAATATTGTCGAAAAAGAGATTTTAATTTTTTTTTATTTTTTACCACAGAGAAGGAGAGAGGGTGTTTAATTTTAACTTTTATTTTTATTTTTTAGATGGGGAGGGAGAGACAGAGAGAGAGAAAAAGTGAGTGAGCGTAAATATGAGTTGACTTTTGTATTTATTTTTTATTTTTTAATTTCTAATTTTTTAATATTATGGATTGAATTATAGACCTAAATTATTGCAATAAAATTTTTAATTAGATTTAATTTTTTGGAGCTTTTTTATAAGACTTAAAATTTAATGGAATTAATTTTTTTTGTGGGCTAGTGATGTACCTAAAATTATGAGGCTTTCTAAAACTTTGAGGCCTAAAGCCTATGCTTTTTTTTTTTTTTTTTTTTTTCATATTGTTGGGCCGCCCTTGGGTGGCTATTCGTTGGGGGATAAAGATTGAGTGGAGGAACAAAGAGAGAAAGAGAGGGAGGCAGAGGAGAAAAAAGATATCAAAAATAATTGGGTAAAAATATCGAGATGGATGCAGGTGATAAAAGAAAACAAAGTAAATAATATAATATCATAATTATATTGATTATTCTGAAACAATGATGTGAAAAAGTGATTTTGCTGATATGGAAAAGATATTATTTAGATCAGCATAAACGGGGGTTAAAATTTAAATATGGACGTTAATTTTAGATTTGAAAAGAATTTTAAATTTAGATGATATTAATTTTGGGCGAGATTAAGAGGTGAATTCAATGTAGGGGTGTCAATTTTAGAAACTAAAAATTTTGAGCAACAAAAATATTTCAAAAGAGTTAATATGGTATGTCAGATTAAAACGATCTGATACGTCAATAGTTTAAGATAGTTTGAGATAACGTCGTCCGTTGGATGATAACTTTTTTGGTTACGAAATGATCTGGATCGCTCTTTATTTTCAAAATTCAAAATTGTTCTAATTTATTGTATAGATTATAGTCTGTCCCGTGCGACATTATATTATAATTCATATATTTTTTAATTTTATTATTTGAGAAATTATATAAAATAGTTATATAACTTTTTTGGGATGATAAATAATGGTTTTTTTTTGAATAAATTTTTAAAAATAATAGTTAGTTATTAATGAGTTGATGAGTAGTTATCGATGACACATGTCAGTGTCCAATTGAAGTGAACTTTAAGTTTTGAATTTAAAAATTTTAAATTCTATAAAATTAGAAAATGAAGAGGGAAGACTTCTCAAACCGTCTCTCCTAAATAAATATAGGATGTAACGGTAACACCATATCATTATTGACATGTGATGTCACTATTCAATATAACACATACAAATAAGTAAGATGAATCGCCTTGGCCCAACATGACAAGGTAGTTACTTAAATATTTATGATCCACTTGTTTATTTGTTATATTTTTTATTAAATGGTGACACCAAGTAAGAATAATGATGTGATATCATCGTTACATCCAATATTTTTTTATTCCGTTCTACCTCTTATTTGATTATATTTTAGATATATACATAGATAGATTGAAGGATAATCAAAGAATAAACTCATATTTTATACTCCATCTTTAATTTTTTGGGTTAATTACATAAAAGTCCCTAAAATATGAACATTATCTTATTTTAGTCTTTAATATTTCAATTATATCATTTTAATTTATGAAGTATTGAATATGTTTCTATGAGGTCCTCAACTAGACAACATCTAAATTTCTAACGGTTTTTTATTATAAACTTGTCACGGTGTATGAGTAGCTCTTGACTAAAATTTGGATAACTCATGATCAAATTGTTTAATTTAGATAGTTCTATGACCAAAATTTGGATAAAAATTTAGTCAGAAGTTATTCAAATTATTTTTTTACCCAGATATTACGTGATAAGTTTATAATAAAAAATCGTCAGAAATCTCGACGCTCTTTGCTGGAGGGAACACATAGAAATAAATTTAATATATCAGGAATTAAAATGATGCAACTAAAATATTAAATACTAAAATAAGATTTTATATTTTAGGGACATCTGTTGCAATTTACCATAGTTTCTTTTATTTATTTTTTCACTTACCCTTTCTCTGTTGCGAAGTTTCTGGACTATTTTCTAGTTTCCTAAATCAAAATCAATAATTCAGTTCCTTGTAGTCATGTTACTGTAACTTTTTTCCCTTCTGGTTTCTTAATCCTATGTTCTTCAAAAAACCCTACTTTTAAAATCCATAATTTACTTCCTCGTATTACTCTAACCTTTTCAAAGTTTCTTAATCACTTATTCACCTGTTCCTTCACAACCCAACAAAGACTGAAGCAGCTTCTTCAAACCTGCATCTGCAGTCCTTACTTCAAACCATACAAATCTCCAAAGGTTTAATCTGGGGTTTTACTTCACTCCTCTTGATTCTTCTACTTATTCGATGGACTTAAATTATTTTTTCTACTTTCTTACAATTTTTGTAATGTGTAATGATTGGTAGTTCAAGATTTAGTTGTATATTATTCCGTAGAAGTTTTTTTTTTTAGCTATTTTTTCGTAGTCAGTGAGCTGTGAAGGGTGATATGTAAACTTAAAGTGTATATCTATCTTTTGTTTTCAGATTATGCGGTGTGTAAAGCATGAATCTTTCTTGAATTTAATGAACAGGGTCGAGATTTTGTTGTTTGAAAGTTGACCAAACCAAACGTTCCACGCGTGAATTTGACTGGTTGGTGTGGTGTTCTTGTCGGTGTATGTGTAAATACAGCTTGAATTTGGAATTCTGTTACAGGATTTGACATTGATCAACCATTGTTATCACTTGTCCTTTCCATTTTTTTTTTCTGGCAAATTCGAGAAGTTTTGATACTAGAAAACTGTTTTTGAGGGGTTTTCGATTTCTGGGTGTGTTTTTGTTTCAGTTGTTTCTGGCTTTTGCTTGGTCCACGGGAATATTGAAAATTTTTTCCTGAAGGGTTTTGAGGTTCTGAGTTTTGCAGTTTGATTGAATTTGGGTTTTTTTCTTTTTCTTTTTTGCTTGTTCAGCTTGTGTTTTTGGTGGATTTAGGAATTGAGACATTAAGCAGTGTTATTGAAGGGTTTTGGAGTTCTGGCTCTGGTTGTTTTGAGTGCTTTGGAGCTCTGCAGATGAAATGGACACCAACGGGTTTACTAGTTCGTCGAATGATGTAGAAGAGGAAGGCGAAGTAAGGCAAGAGGAACCAAAGGGTATTGCTGAGTCTGTTGGGGTTAATCCACCATTGCATATGGAAAATGAGGCCATGGTTGAGGAAGTCAAAGCTGGTGCTTTAAACTGGACAGAGGATCCAAGGACAAATTCATTGAAAATGACCAGTGAGTCCATAAATGAACCGACTGATGCTGTTTTTTTGGATGGCACTGATGATCAGAAGACTTGTTCATCATCAATTGCTGAAAATGAGTCTTCAGATGAGCAGTTGGATGTAGGTTCTACTCCTGAAGCAAACTGCAGGAGAACGAATTCATTGCATACCTTATCAGTTGTAGAGAGTTCTCAGTCGAAAGAGTTGAGTGCCAGTTTGTCACCTCGGGTGAAAAGGGGTTAGTGCTTGACAACTTTGACTTTTTTTCCTTGTGTTGCAGTAACTATGTTTCTAACTTCTAAGATAAAAGAATTAAGCTTGCATAAAGAAAATTGCATTTTTATGTATTGAGATCCACCCCTCAAATACTTGTTCACTCGACTCTACACTATATTGCCTCACTATTTATCACCAATTTATTACATTTTGTTAAGTTCCATAACAAAATGTATAGAAGAGTCTTTGACCTTTTTAAGGTTTGCATCATTTGAGTGGGCTAGGATTCAACTCCAAGGCTTTGAGTCAATCTTGGAATGCCATTTTGAAGATCTGCTATTTTCAGACTCAGCAGTTAGTTACTTAAATAAGCTATCGTAGAAAGTTCTTATTTTTGAAAAATCAAGCTGAAACATTACTGTGTCAAAAAGACAACTACCTGCAGTATTTCACACAGCATTAATCTTATTGTAGGAACACTGCTTCATACGCCTTATATCTGTAAGCTGTTAACATGCGTTTGAGATTCGAGATACTTAAGAGTTGAGAAACATCTTCTTTAGGGAAATTCCTCGTATACTCTCTTCTTATGACTCCTGTAGATAGTGCATATAATTAGTGTTGGCATTTCCAAAATGAGATTCAGCAAAGAGAAAACAAAGGAGAGTGGTTGGTGAATTAATTATGATTGAATTCCACATTCACTAGCATCTGGCTGCTATGTAGTGCTGTCAATGAGTCGTGTAGTGTCAATATTTGCTCGATTCATACCCAACCCATTTGTATTCTTGTATTCCTGGGTTTGTTCGTGTAAAAGTCGTGTTTAGTGTGTGAGGGTTGTGATTAGCCGGTTTCATGTTTACCTATTTAGCGGGTGCGGGTCCACCCATTTACCACCCAAACCCGTACAAACTCAACCCAAACACTTAATTCCATGTCAATTTCTTGTCGGATTCGCGGGTTGTATCTAAAATTGCTAGACCTAAGTGGCAGAAAAGATGACCAGGCAGGACTAATTCCGTGGCAATTGTGTCGGGTTCGCAGGAGGGGAATGATGATCAGGCAATTGCACTTTGTTTCCAAGGATTTCTGAGGGTCTTGTTTGTTTGTTTGTTAATATGCACATTGTTTTTTTTATTTCCAATTTAGATAGGCCTGCCCATTACATTGGCAATTTTCTTTATGGCTAACTTGCAAATATAGTCAGGAACCCAATTGATTGCGTGATGCAATCCTAGGTATGTTGCGATTGCAAATTGATTCCAAATAGGGTAAAAGGATCTAAAGAAAAATGCTAGATTAAAAGAACATTGTGTTTTCCCTTGGTATTTATCAATTTCAGGGACAAATTAAAGCAATATTGTTCGTACTTACTTTGTCTTTAGTCATTTATCACTAAACTTTGTTGGTGCGAAGGAAACTATGATTTTTGACTGCCCTGTTTCCATACAGACCCCCATATAATGGGGTTGGAAGGTCCTCACATAGAAGAGTGGAATTTAAATAGGTGCATTCAAATGTCTTTGAAGTTTCAAGTTGCTTTTCGTTGGATCTCCAAAAAAAAAAAAAAAGAAGCAAATAAAGAGAGAGAGTATTTAATATGTATCAAGCAGTAGGCCATATCATCTTAACTTTGATGCACTATGCGTTTTAGTCGTCTCGCTGTTTTAAACAATACTAAACTTGGTTTATGGTAAAAAAGTTTGACATTGATTTTTTCTGTGAGCTTTACCCATGTTTTTTATAATGGACATGATCAGCTGAGGTAGGGAGCTTCAAAACTTTATTTTTTGATTAGGATTTGATTCTTAAGGGAGGTGTTAAGCAAGTTTCGGTCGTGAACAGTATTTCTGAAGGCATTAATGGTCTCTTTTTTACTGTGGATGTGATCTGTATATTGTTGGATAACAATATCTCATTCCGTGCTGAATATTTTGTTGGAGACTTGAAATTTTATCTTGTGGTCGCTTTTCCATCCTTGAGTTTAAATTAAGGAAAAAAAGTGGTCATACTTTGAAACCTGGGGCACGTGAAAAGGAAAGAAAAAGGAAAATTGAAGCCTTTTGTCTCTCTCTCCCCCCCCCCCTCCGGCGGTTAACACTTAACCTCTTCTACTATGAAAACAGAAAATTATAATCAGTTATACATTTCCCCATCATTTTTGTCCTTCTTCTTCTTCTGGGCGGAAAATAATATTTTCTGTAGCCTATTTATTTTACAAGAGCAACCACAGTAGGGTTTATGTTACTCTTTGGTATTGTGCATCATTGTCATCTTCCTCCTCCTCCTCCCCCCTCCCATTATGCTAGCATAATTTCTTTATATTTTGCAATTATTTTACAGTATTAGAGGCAAGCTTTCTGCCGGCTCTGGATGGCAGTCACCAAATTCTCTGTAAAGTTCACTAAAGCTTGAGATGTCATATTAACTGTAATTTACAAGGTTGCATGCCTCTTATTGTCCCAAAAGTTGTGTCAAGAAAGCACACTATGTATTTTGTTTGGATGTCAGAAATTGAAATCTAAAATGTCAAGCTTGAGTTATGGATGATGTAGATAGTGCCAATGGTTTCGAATTGCTTACTTTCTGTTCTTTTAGTTTTATGTTTTCTGATCTCATGGTATTTTTTGTTCTTACTTGAAGGCTTGGGCCACTGCATCACTGCGCCTGTGGCCACTCGCCAAAACCTCTTCCTTGATAGCCATGATATTGCATTTTCTCGGTCAATGACTGAGAAGAGGGAGAGTCCAAGGCATGACCTAAAATTGGATAGACTGTCAGAGCGTGAGAAGGTGAATGTCAGAATCTTATAATTACATACAGCCTTAAAATAATGTCATACTCTTGCCTCGCTTATATGTTTAATAAACTTCACTATGCAATCGTGTAAAACAAGCATGGTATACTCACATACATGCACATAACACAGACGCGCATATCTTGTTTGCCTTATTATTTCTCTCTATGCTATTTGTTATTCCTCTGTGCTGGGTTATATGCTGTCTCCTGATTGGTTCATGGGGATGACATAAACAATTTGGTTGGCAATCCTTTACTTCTTGCCTAGTGCTGCAACAAAGAAATTGTGCATTATACCCCTTGTGCATGATTTTATGAGGTAATAGCTGATATGTTTATGAGCTCATTGTTTTCTCCTTGTTCGACCAATATTTTTACTAGTATAGGACCAATGAACTTAGTGGAGAGTCCTATTATTAGTTTAATATCATTTTTCCTGTTTTCAATGAGGCTTGGAAATTCTATATGTGCAAGGGAGGAAATATGAGGAGGAAGAAGAATCCTTTGGAGAGAAGAATACAAATGACAAATGTCTAGCGCTGCATAAATAAAATGACGAGAAATCCAATCTGCAGAACTGCCCATCCCCTCAAAATGGGTAAAAATGAGTCATCCTAGGAACCACTTAATAATCTGCAAGGTTGACCAATAAATTTAAGCCATCACCATCTTACTAGGAAATTAATTTAATTTGTGCCCCATAGAAAGATGACTAATGTAAGATCTCCCATAAGATGACTGCAGTGTCAAGGAGCATAGAGAAGCCATTCAAACCCATGACCATCCCATTCTATTCCACCTTAATCAAGCCTTGTTAGAGGTATAGTATTAAAGCTTTTCTAATGACCTTTCAAAAGAGCGCAATCTTTGCCTCAATTTCCAAACCCCCAACATTCTTGATTATTGCATGTATAATTAGAAATATTACTTGAACTTTTAAAAGATTTCGTATCTGATGTCAAACGATTAGCATCATTCAAGGTTGGTTTAAATGGTTAAGGGGCCTAACAAACGAAGAGAGATATTTTGTTTATATCCTGAGAGGCCTTTTTAACTACTAAAAATTGGTTTTGGGTTGGATGCTTTAATATTATATCAAGGCTGAGTCTAGGGTGGTTGGTGGTCAAAGCTCTTACCTGTCGTGGTTAGCCATTACACATGATTATCTTTTTTTGTTGTTGGTCACTCAGTTTCACTTGTAAGCTCGTGTCCTATGTGAAGGAGGGTGTAAATAGAGTTTTTATCACACATCAGATGATTACGACTAAAGACCACCCCTAAGGGACCTTTACTGCCTCGGTACAAGGGTCAACGCCGTACACGACAACTGTGCTTACTTGCAATTGTCTCGGCTATTTTTGTATGGACGTTCGCGCATTGCGTGCCTCGTGTCCCAAGTATTAATTAGATAGATGTGACGTCTCATTAGATGCAACCTAGACTCGATTCCTGAGGAAGGGGTACATTCTCTGAGGTAAAGGGGGGGCACCCAAGGTAGAAGGGTTGTGAGAGCATCATCGCGGAAGAGTTATATCCGCAGTGCACCTACTGCATGCATACTGTGATGCTCTCCTTTTCATTTGGATCCCCTTTTGTGGCCTTCATCCAAAGTGCCCCAATCAAAGATCACCATATAGTTTCGGTCCTTTAGTCACCAATCTACATGTCCCATCATTCCATATGTTAATTTGAACCATTAACCCCTTGTACCTTAGGAGTCCCTCTAGATTCCAGTCAAGCGCAACCTAGTGGCCATGCCTACTCTAGCAGATTAAACCTTCAAAATCTTTGTCTGAAACTGAGAATAACAATCATGCTCGTCCAACCTTGTTACTTAGTTTTCTCTTGAGGGTGGTCATACTTCCTTCTCTCAAGGTTGTAACCTCTCCTCTTGATCCTTTGGGCCGGTCAAGCAATGGTATACCATTGGTTGACTTTACCATTGTGAGCATCCAATGGGTTTCATGTTCTCTCTAAAGGCCTTGCTACAACTTTAATATTGATCACCCAAGTGCAGGTTGTGCAAAGTAATAAATACTCGAGAGTTTGAGGTCGTACCACAGAGAATTATTGAAAGTTGAAAGAAAAAAAAAATTAAAAGTAGAATTGCTTTGGAAAAATTTGAGCGAATTGAATTTGAAGGAAGCATTAAATTTTAGGTAAAACAATATTCGAGAGATACAAAAGCATCAAGGATTCTCTTTCAATTCCACAGAATATTTATTCTTGATTCGGTTTTCAAACTCAATTAAGAATCAGTTGAGAAGTGATCTTAGTCGGAAGGTTTACTGGTGCTTATATTAAAAACAAATCTAAATTATAACTAATAACTTGATTTGATAAAAATTATGTATTTAATTGTAGATCACAAGTATTCACTGTGTGTAGATTCAACGATGAATCAAGATCTCTAACAAAGAATTTTTTTTTTATCACAAACAAGAGATCATTTTTTTTTATATAAATATTCTGATTCATTGATCCAAATATACAAAACTAGTTATTTGACTTACAGGGAATCTAAAACATTCAATATACATGACACAACGAATTAAGAGATTTTATAGAGCAAAAACTTTACTAAACCATAAGAATCAATTACTAAGAAAAATCGTGCATTAAAGAACATCAAATTAAAAATAAATATCATGTTTTATTGAAAGAATTACCCCTAGTTTTAGTCGGGGATTTAGCAATCCACAAATATGAAAACAAAGAAAGAAGGGAAGAATAAGAAGGGTTGGAGGTTCTAGATCTAGTTTACAATGTATGTTTCCCCTATACCTAAGGGTTTGAGGCATATATATAGTTGTATAGACCAAACTAGGGTCGGAGAACTGAAAAAATAAAAGTTCTAAGCCATCCTAACTTCTAACACGTGTCTGGTTGCACTAAACTTTATGTTTCAACCAGTTGAGGCGCATATGGACGCGGGTAAGATTTTTACGAAGTACACTTTTGTTCCCTTGAAGTCTTCTTTCCAATACCGCAAGAATTAGGTCAATTGGATATCGGGATAAAAATTTATGATCAAAGTACCGAAGTAGTGACAAATTCTTTCATCTTGAATACTCTCCAAAATGTGTTTAAGCTCAGGAATGTATCCAAATTTCTTTTCTTCAACTCCAAACCTATAATGCCATATTGAGTGACCTTGGAACACTTGAGATTTACCTTGAATCATCTATATCTCAATAAGTGACTGTCACACCCCGAATTTTTTTTTCCCTTTTTAAAAAATACCCGGGTGTGATTAAGGAATAAAATTTACCGAACTTACAATAATCTTCCTTATATTATTTTATTTTTCGTACGAGTACATAATCCTCACAAGATCATTTCAAATATTCTTGATACAACATAAAAGAAATAATAATAGCAGACTCTATCCTTTCAGCCTATCTTCCAGCTTGACTTCATATATCTGAAAAATGTTAAATAGGGATGAGTTCACCAGTTCAGTGGATAACGTTTATCAATGACTACCAAGGTTTTAAAACAATGAATAATATAATTAAACCGCGAATAAATGTAGGAATAGGGCAAAGTAATGAATGAAATAAATAAATTTCAGCACATATGGATCATATCAATCCGTCAATTTTTTGGTCCACACATGAATCGCCTCCGGAGAAAACTTTGGGGTCTTGCACCCTAGGGAATCCAATGCGCTTCTTGCTTTTCTGGAAACACCAATACCGAAAATTATGTGGTACCACACAGGCTACCACGACAACCGATATTACTAACCGGTGAATCCAAGGACTAGTAGGAATCTTGTGAATCCTTGCAAGGATCACGCATCTACTAACTCTCTGCCCTTGATTATGTGCATTTATAGTAATTTCATCAAAATCACAAAATAAAATCATATCGTAGTCAGACTCCACAACAAATCAAACATTAAATATTAATTAATGAAATAGACATTTATTATGCAACATAGTTTCATGAGATAATTAGGGTTTCAATAAAAAAAATACATTATGTGCATGATAACGATTTATTTATAAAACCCCAGTCTGACCCCATGATATAATATTACATTTTATAATTAAAAATAGATTTGATATGAAACCTCCAAATATGCATAAAATATATCAATGATAGTAAAAGATAAAAGAAACTCTACCTCCTTCTTGACTTCTATTCGATACCGTGTACTGTAACAAAATAACCAAAATAATATTTTAGAATAACAATAGGTACTAAGGGCTTAATTAACCTAAAATAAGTTTTGGAATAACTAACGAAAGATAATAATACTTAAATTTGATCTGAAAATATTTAATGCAGATCAACTTTAAGTGACTCGAACATATAAAAGTTATTAAATAATAACTAAAAACTCTTACCCAAAGTTTTGATCGCGACCGCAAACTCTTAGGTCAACAAAATTTTTGACCCCTTTTCCCTCTCTCCTCTCTTTCTCCCTTTCTCTCTTCCTCCCTTTCTCTTTTTTTTTCCTTGTGCCGTTCAAAGCTACTGAGCATGGCTATTTATAGCCCAAAAATTGCTTGGGGACCAAGCATCTCATGGACAGTTGTCCAGTTCTTGCCAATCTCTCCTTTTTTTTTTTTTTCCTTTCTTTTCTTTGCACGTTTCACATTTGCACTTACTGTGCTTGTAAAAATCTAGAATTTATAATAGTAGCTTTATAAATATCTTTATATATATAGATATGAATATATTCACTTTATTATAGGGTTACGATATTTGACCTATATTATAGTCATTTGACTTATTTTCACGCGAAAATTCTATATTTGAGATCCATTTGTTCATAAAAAAATCTATTTTATTTATTTATTAAGATAAAATCATAATTGACGACCTAATTAGCGTGTCGATAATTAATTTATATACGGGTTGTCATAGTAACCATTCTACATCTCCTACAAAACAAAGTACTATAATAAGTAAGTTTTTTTATTGATTACTCCAATCAAGCTCAAATGAGATCAAACATCAAAACTCATTCAAAATGCAAAATATGCTTAAAAGAAATGTAATAATACTCATTTAATCCAATAGAATAATAAAATTTTCATCCATTATCAGGCCTTATCCATGAGGGTCCCCCTCGAGGCCACAGGCTTACCGTCGAACTTCAGCTATATCCATTCGCTTATGTGGTGGAGTTGGACTTATAGGCTCGCCAAGGTTGTCCCAGACTTTTGCGGTGCTATTTTTGTCCCTTTTGGTCAAGGATCCATTTTAACCACTTCTTTGGTGAGGAGGGTGTGCCTTGCTTCTTTGCAGTGGATACCCTCTTCGTGGTCACAGGTCTTTTACCACAACCTTTACCATTCGAGGGTGGGCCTATCCTGCCACAGCAGCTTGTGGTCCCTCCTTAATTTTGCCACGTCAGCTCGTGGTCCTTCCTTAATCTTGCCACGTGTTGCTTTGTGATTGGTACACATCTATATTTTATAGGCTACTACAAAAGTTACGCATTTTTTTTTATCTAAATCTCCCAATTGCTAGCAAAGTGGCACAAATTCACTAGCAATTTATCCATTTCCCCTTAATAAAAGCCCCCAAAAGAGGGGTCCCCAAGAAGGGATTGAAATTGCACTGTTGAGGATTCAAAAACTTGGTGATGGGAAGATGGTTGGATTTTCCTCCATCACCTCTGCATTGATCACATATATTTGGATTTGGACTAGGCTAATTTAGTCTTCTTTGGTGGCATCCCATTGGTACTTTTATGTGAGAGCCAATGATCCAAATTTTGTTTCAAAATAGATGAAATGTCTTCATTTCCATGGAAATTGAAATGAGTCAAATATTGAAACTCCTACGTTTCTAAATGTTTCAAACTGTTTTGAGGTGTTTCAGTTTGCTTTCACCAATGTTTTAGAATTATCAATTTGTTTCAAAATATTTTTGAAGTATTTCGGTTTTATCAAAACAATACACTGGAACAAAATTTTGATCTTTGGTGAGAGCCTTGACTTTACGAGGAGCCTTGGCCTTCCAGACAACCTTGGTAGCAGGAAAAGGGAACAACTGTTACATAGAGAAAATTGAACATAATTTAGAAATGTTCCACACTAGAATTCAGACACTAACATCTTTTAGGCAGACTAAAAGAGGAAAGACATTGATTAGGAAAAGGAAGACAATCCTTGTCTTTCGCAAATTTAAAGTGTGACGGAAGTTTTGCCACAACATTAAAAACCAGAAGATATGATATGTGAACCGGAGTCCCTTTTAAAAGTGAATCTTTGAGCCATCACCCACTATGAATATTTATTGAACAGAGAATTCCGAGTAACTTTGAAAAGTAGCTTTCTGATGACCAAAGTGAGTCTATATGACTAAGGGATATCACAACCATCTTCTTGTAGACCTATATTCTATTGAATATTCAATTGTATGCAGAGTTCTATCTTTCGGAAACTTCCATCGTAATTTCCTAGGGAGAAAATTTTCCCGTTCAATTGAATTGTCCTATTCATGCAACCTTCCTTTTAGATTGCTACCAACTACCAATTAATCAACTAGTCCATGTAACCTATAACAACTCTATCATAAACTCTTCATCAGGATTACATCTACATTGTTTGCTAGTGTTACTACGATTGTTGGCCAAAAAACATTCAACCACGGATACACTCCACCCCGTTTTCAAGAAGGGGTCTTAGAGGTACACTAATCAAGGATGGCTAGCTCAATTGGATACTTAGTAGCTATTGATATGTCCAACTGCCTACCGAGCTATGAAGCACGAATACTTCGCCACGATCGACGTACCCGTATTGGATATGATACTCATTGGATACTCAATGATACGCATTAGATACCAATGATACGCATGATACGTATCCAATAGTTAATAAAATATGTGAATATTTTGCAGATACTTCTATACATGGAGCAAAATGTATAATTTTTAATTTTAATCTTCACCCTCTCTTTTTGAGTTCACAAACAATACAATACATCAAGAAAATTTCATTTGATTTTGTAGATACGAGTGTTTTTTAATTATTATCCACTATTACATGTCAAAACATTGTAAAAAAATAAGTTAGTTACACTACAATCTTAGAAACAAATACTTGTAAACAAACTAACTAGTTAAATATCGGTTCTAATTCATTTAATCGATCACGTTCACTTTATGGATATATCATAATGGGATGATGTTACACCTTTTTTAAGGTAAAAATTGTTAATTTTGTTTAATGTTGTTAAATAATTACTAAAAATTATATTTTTTAAGTCGTTAAATAATAGTAAAATATAAAATATATTTTATTATATGCGTATCCTAATCGTACCCGTATCATTTTTTCAAGTTTTGTTGTATCGCCGTATCTATTTCGTATCATAGTTGTATCTCGTTTTTGTGCTTCCTAGCTACCGAGTAAGCACGTTTATGCACCTCCTCAAGCTAGTTTCTCTACGTCATGCACTTGCATATGAAATTCATAATTTATGTTTACCTCTCACTTGCACTTGTATATTTCCTGTCTATATCATGTATGAAATTCGCTTTCTTTCATATCCTTCCTCCTTGTGTTTTCTGTATTAGATAAAACTCATTGAGAAGCTAGTAAAGATCCAAAATGATGGGACTGTCAAGGTTGATCTAACTAAGAGTGCACCAGTAGCTTCAGAATTGTTAGAACTTCATTCTGTTGAAAGGGCACCTTCAAATATCGATTACGTCACCACTGATTTGAACAAGTCAATTCCGAGACTGAAAATTGCAATGCTTGTGGTTGGAACAAGAGGAGATGTTCAGCCTTTTCTTGCTGTGGCAAAGAGACTTCAGGCACGTTTAAAACAATTTTCTGTTCCACCTAATTGCTTATATATCTACTGCATTCTGTTATCATTGTGCACGTTCGTTTTTCCTAATGTACTTTTTTCTTGCATGATTTTGTTTTGTCTAATGAGAAGTAGTTAAGTCTACATATTTCAAGATGTAACCAGGGAATCTACAGTTCCAAATTCTTTCCCTTGTCTATGGATTGAAGTATGTATGCTATATTGTATTTGTTCAGAGTTAAGAATCTTTGCCACAAAACTAACACCCAGTTTAGTCCTCATTAATGGAGGTATGGAACGGGTAGTTAGGTACAAACTTCAGTGAAGAATCTTTGCTAAAAGCTGGGATTACAAAAAGTGTTTCTAATGTTGGGATAGGTCCGATAGGAGTAAGAAGCTGAATTCTGATATTATTAAATCCTATGTAAACTTATCCATTTCTTTTGTGGTCAAGTTGGGATAAGTTCACATTATTTTGTAATGTTTGCGTGTGCTTACTTGAACAGGGTTGTTACCTTGGTTCTGTCGTTTGGTTTGATTTTACTTGATTGCACATGCTTTTAGATGCTCTTTGTTAAGGTAAGCCCTGGTTGCCCATGGTGGACATTGTTAATTACTGCATTGGTGAGGAGTTGATCTGTTGTTGAGCATGGATATATCCTGAAATTTATTGTGTAAATTTTCTGCTTCTATATTGATGTGTTTTTTTTTTTTTGGAATTACCTAATTTTGAACTTGAGGGTTTATGTCAAGGTCAGGGGACCTTCACTTAATACGTATCTCTGCTTTTAGCTGTGATAATGTATTTAAAAAATAGCTACTGCTTTGACACTCTGCACGCCGAGATTCTGTTTCTTTTGCAATATCATGTGTCATTCCCCTAACTAATTATGTGTTGGCCTGCAGGAGTTTGGTCATCATGTTAGGTTGGCTACTCATGCTAACTTCCGTAGTTTTGTGAAGTCGGATGGTATAGACTTTTATCCTTTGGGCGGTGATCCTCGGGTTTTGGCAGGATGTAAGAGGTCCTTGACATGCAATTTTTTTATTTCTATGTGGAAACACAATTTAATTCATTTGGTGTGGTAAATTTATCATCAGAGCATTTTATGAAGACTATTTCTTCTGTGGACTTCATGAATGTGCATCAGTTCATAGTGCTTTTTGCTCCTCCTGTTTTCTTTTGTCATCTATTTGATGTCTCCATTTTGTCACCAAAAACCTGAATAGTATGTGTTGAGCGAAGTCTAATTGAACATTATTGTTTAAAATTACCTTCTCACTGTTAGTTGCATCCTTCAGATATGATATTTTGAGATTTTCCTCTCTTGAGACCCAATTGCATCAATTCTCAACTTGTTTCTAAAATTTTGAATTATAATTGACGTTGTTTAAGTATTTGTCTAACTAAATTGAGTTTTTCTATTGTCTAACTAAATTGAGTTTTTCTCCATCATTATAGATATGGCCAGGAATAAAGGTTTCATTTCATCTGCACCGGGAGAAATATCTATACAAAGAAAACAACTAAAGGCTATTATTGAATCACTTCTTCCAGCGTGCATAGAACCTGATATGGAAACTGGTGAGCCTTTTAGGGCTCAGGCTATTATTGCAAATCCTCCTGCTTATGGTGAGTCGTAAATGCTCCATTGGATTTTCTGAATAAATGTTGAATTATCTTGAATAGTTTGGCCATATAGCCTTTGGAGTCAGAATCACCTCTAGAGTGTTTCTAGATACCCAACCATAGATATAGGAGTCTGCTTCTAGTCTTATTATGAGGTCTTATTGATATAGTTGATACTTTCTGGAAGCATCATTGCATCGTTTTGTTTAGCAATGAGAATTTTGAGGAGGTGCAAGAAAGTGGATTTGGAGCTTACAAAAATCCAATGATAAGATTTTAAAAATCAATGTCTAGTGGAAACTGTCACACCCCATCCCAAGCGACCAACTTGGTATTCTTAAGATGTAAGTATAACTTGACACGTGACAATACTTGTGTTAGCGGTGCATTGAAAACTAATACTACCAACTGAAGATCTTATAAAAGAGATATACCATATAACTCTATGACAGAGTACACAACGATGTAAGTTAAACCAAAACAAAATATTAGAGAATTCATCCCTTACATCAACAAGGAAACAAACACCCCTGTACAATATGTTCACAACCAGTTTCCAGACCTTTCCAGCTCGACTTTGCTAGTGTTGTAGTGGACCAAACTCTAAACTTCTGCTTCCTGAAACCAAATATTTTCTCCGTCTATTGAGCATCATAATAAATAGAAATATAAAAAAAATATGGATCAGATATTATTTCCCAAAATATGTTTACAACCCGAGAAAACAACAAATAAGTCAAAGTGTTCTCAGCCCACTTTGAAACTCAAATCAACATAATAAATATTTCATATGTGCCACGAGTCAATAACAACATTTAAGCAATATCAAACTATCAACAACATATAAGTAATGTCAAGTTATTTACAACATTTAAGCAATGTTAAGCCGTCTCATGACAAATGCGCAATATCCAAATCAACATATAAGCCATGTCAATCTATTCAACAAATCACAAGTTTTTCAATAAATCACAAGTATATGACAATATGTCATATATTTTTATTTCTAGTTATTATGAAGTAGTACACTTAACCTGTCACCCCCAACGTGACAGCCAATACATCACTTAGCTTTATTCTCGATCCCTAAATGGAATCGGTATAGTATCTTTTGGACCTAACACAAATTATATAACCATACACAATGAGTTTCAACTCCAAATAACTCAACAGATGCAAATGTATGCATACGATTATATTTCATTTTATGTTTTGTTTATTCTGATTCAACTCAACTTAGATCAAGATAAACTCTAATCCTATGGTTTATTTTCATAATAACTCAACATGAAACCAAATGAGTTAGAAAGTAAACTCCTTAAGGTTTCTAATGATAGGTCACAAGCTCAAAACAACCTCCCATAGACCATGTTCCTATTATTTTCCTACAAGTTAAAAAAAATTGATACGTGTACTGTTTTTAGCTATCTTTAAACTAAAAACTGAATTTACACAGGAATAATATGATGTTCTACCATATACCATTAGAAAGGTCTCTTGAGTTTAGTTTTCAACAAAATTGACAGTGTATCAATTTGAGTTTTCTACAAAAAGTTATTTCCGTTTTACTATAGGGTGTCAAAGCTGTCCAATATGCCTCATATCCGAATTTTTCAATATTTTGTTTCTTTGATCCAAACCAATCTAATTTATTTTATATCACATTCAACTCAAACAAGGTCTGGTCACTTAAGTCCTATTTTCGCTCATTCGCTTCGCTTAAACATTTTCTTGAACACTTCACATGCATTAAAATAACATGAGAACCTATCGCGCGAGTTTAATTAAAACAACCTTCTATTCTTGTTAAAATCATAAGAACCCAAATTAATCATAAAATAGACTTTCTATACTTTCTAACCATAGATCGTGACCTCTAATCGTCATCCAATTGACCATGTTTTGATTAATTTTACTTAGGATTTCAAATCTTGAAAAATGCATATCAATCCATTTAGATTAAAAACTGTATTTTCTCAAGCATAATTTGGTGGTCTACCATATACCGTTAAAACGGGCTTTGAGTCTAGTTTCCTATGCTTCAAACGGTGTGCGAATCCGAATTTTCTAGTGGAAGTTCTCACCATTTTTCTACCAGGTGCGCAGTCTGTCCAATAAAAAGGGGATTACTACCACCATCTCTATTCTTCTACCCATGAACCAAAACCCACTTCAATCTACTCCAAAATCAATTACAACCCTTCTAACAGTCTCCCATAATCTTTCAATAATCCAAAACGAGTTTGGGCATCAATGTAAACAATTTTAATAATCTCTTTCAACAACTAAACCATAATTCCAGCTTGTGGAAACAATTCCATCAACTAAGCATGAATTCTACTTCTTTCCTTGATGAAAACTCCACCCAACACACTCCTATTCATCCAGATATTCCACCAAGATATGCAAACACTTAAATTAAATTTTCAAATCTTAAGCAACTACTCTACGAGCAATCCAATAAATTAAGTATAACAAGATAAAATAGGCCTATGATCGACACAAGTCCTCACTGGATGCATATTATCATGACATTCAACCTTTAAAAAAAATTATGATTTTTAGGTCTTAATAATCAATTTCAATAACTAGAGAAGTGCTTACCTCTCCAAAAGATCTCCAATCCAACCAATAGAAATTTTAACCCCAAATTTCATCAAATCCACAAGAAAAATTAGAAGAAATTTTAGCTTCTAGTGCTTCTGAAGTGATAACTGAGAGAGAGAGAGAGAAAGTGTGTAGAGAGATATGGAAGAGTGGAGAATGTCTGCCAAGAGATGTCTCCACCGATAGTTTCATCCCTCTTTATATATTTGGCATATTTATAAATACATTCCTGTTCTTTTGTAATATGTCACTTTAATCATAAAAATTTTTAATACCAAAATATAGTTTTGACCCCATTAGTTATTGTTTATTTTTCTTGTCTTATATCTTTCCTTTTTTTATTTATTTAAGTACTATGCATGTATGCTTGGGTTTGACATAAATAATCTACTTCCTTTCTGTCACATCTGCTTCTAAGTAGAATAACTGCTTCTAAGTGAAAATATTTAACATGAATCAATAGCGTAAAACTAAAATAAAATATTTGACAAGGATGGATAGGTGACATCTTTATTTGTCAAGAGTTTTTGTAATAACTCCCTTTCCTTATTGTTCATCTATACATTTTTAACTATCTGGTGAAATGATATTTATAGATGTCATTGTATTGAGAGAGAGAGAGAGAGAGAAGGGGGGGTTGACAATTTTTGAAACTCTAACATGATTCGAATCTGACGAAGATATTGAGTTTGGCTAGATATTTTCACTTGATTAGTTAATCGTATTATGTTATGTTTGGTCAGTTTGTTAAATAGGGCAAGTGTGGGTTGACAGGCTTATTAAATGTGCTTTTTGAACTTTGAACCCATCTAACCCATTTTTTTTAGCTTCTCGTGGAACCCATCTAATCCAACATGAGCTGTTTATTGAGTAGGTTGCACAGGTTGTGTTATGACTTATGATAGCTTGACCCAATTTTGACACGATTAACTTTTGACATGGACCAATTGCCACCACTAAATAAATCATAGTTCTCCATCATCAAGTGTTATTTACTATGCATTATCTTTGTTGGTTGTCTTCTGATATATGAGGTAAAAATTATGCTTTCATTTCACATAGCTTTTTTATGAGCAGAGTACACTGTTTTAACATGACCCTCTGGCTGGCAGGACATGCACATGTTGCTGAATCGCTTGGTGTACCCCTTCACATCTTCTTCACAATGCCTTGGACGTGAGTTCTGGCAAAACCTTTTCAAATGTGTATGAACTCTATATATCTTAGATAGATGGAGATAATATAATGTTCGTTAGTTCGTATGGTAAATTGCAAAACTGTCTTCGCACCTTAATATAACTTTGATTTCTTTATTGTGTAACGGTTGGGACTTCACTTGTTACTCTGTAATGGTATTGAATTTAACCAGACAAACAGTTGTCGTAGTGGCTTGCAAGTTCCCTTGTAGAACTGTGTAACCTGACCTCCAAATGGAGGGAGGGAGGGATTAATTTTAGAAGTCAAAAAGTTTTAATATATGTATTTGCAGTCCTGGTCTTGGTAATGCGAGCTAATCTGTAGCCTATAAATATCCTGTCATTTCCATGGAGTTGCTTGTGGGGATTCAGTGCAACCCTCATTCTTGAGAAGTCGAGAGGTCCGATTTTAAATTCATATAACCATCTTCTTCACCCCTTCGTATTTCTCTTTAGCATGGAATTATCTATCTTAATCACCAATTCTTGTCTAATAGGGTATTTCTTCCCCGAATCCTACAAGCAGGGTTGTTGCTTACGATTTTGGTCTTTACGTTCATACCTTGTACCAATAGATGATAGTTGCAGTTCAAATATTGTGGCTCCGTATTTCTGAAATTGCGGCAACTTAGGACCTACAAAACCTAAGCCTGTCCTAGCCTTTCTATAAAGCCTATAACATGTATCTTCTTCCTTTCAATTCCAGATGCTGCAATATTTCCATAACCCCTGCCCACCACAATCTATCATCATATTAAAGACTGTATGCTGATGTGCCCAAGCTTGGGTAGGGACAACAATTTCAACCCGAATTGCAGGCTTGATGCATCTTGTATCCTTTGTGGTCATGTGGTCAATACCGTAATTGCTGCATTTTTTGTGGTCATAGCAACTCATGGTATGATCCATGGCCTAGGAGCTGAGACAGTGGAGTGAGAACAAAAACGACAATGTTGGGGAAATCAAATTCTAAACTACCTTCAAAGCGTGTACATGTATGTCATTATGTGTCTGATGGCTGTCTGTGTGTTGGTGTGTGCATGAATCTGCACTTCTTTGCATCGTTTAAGCATATCCTTCTGTTTTGTGACAAAGTTAATCTTTTCATTTTCCTCTAATTTGGCTTAGTATTTATTTAGCTCATGGGGTTTCGGTTTCCTATCCAAAACTATTTGAATTTTTGGATGATGGCATGATAAAAGTTATCAAGTCCAAGATAATTGTGTTTATGATTCTGCTCTCTCCCTCCCATACTGCAGAGAGCACCACCAACACGCAAAAAAATAGAGAAAGAAGAAGAGTAGAAAAGTATATTTTAACTTCAGATTTTCCTTGTTTATTTACTAAGTAGCATGCTATGAACCGCAGATAACTCTCAAGAAGGTGACATATCTGTGGTAGATACCGACACTTCTCCGACACGTGTCCAATATTCTTTTACTCCTTGTCTATAATTAAATGATTAAATTTTAATTTTGGACATTTGTCGGACACTTCTTTAATGATTTGTCCGACACTTTTTTAAACCATGACTACTACCAAATAATAAATATGTGTTGACATATGATTAACAAAGCTAAAAAATTTGACTAATAACTATCTTATGCTATGATAGAACATATAATTACCAAGACTGAATATGTTAAAGTAGTACTCAAAATATAATAAAAGTAAAAGATATATAAAAGATTTAGAAAAGATCAATCATTTAAATTGCATATGTTTGGTACATGTCTACAAAAAAATTGGTGATTGTTGACTATTATGATGACCGGTTAAATATTCACACTAGATGACTAGACATAACATTATTTATCACAAAGTACAGATTTTTTTTATGAATAGTATATCATTGTCATTATATTTATGATAAATTATATAATTTAAATATAAAATACAATTATTTATAGTATGTCCCCAATGTATCGGTGTCCTACCTTTTTGAGAAATGTGGTGTCTACATGTTCGTATCTGTGAGACTGTGCCCCATGTCTGTGTCTGTGTCCATGTCCATGTCCATGCTTCTTAGGTAGCATGCCATCAGATCTTAACCCCATACATGGCTTTGAGTTTCAGTACTTCTTTTTTGGGTTTGCAAGTAAATTGAAACTATTTTATTATTTTTAACTCCATTTTTGAAAGCTCGTAATTACCCAGAACTCATCAATGCATACTGAATCTAAGTAAAATGTATTAAAGCATGTCTTTATAATATTTATCTTCGGTGATAAACGGATTTCGTAATATTAACTGGGGTTTTTGCTTTTTTTGGTACTTACGCCATTATGACATTGGATAATTCAGGCAGAATAGTAATGCATTTGGCCACATTTATCTCTCAGATATAGGGTAATAGCTATTAATGACTAGTAAGCCTTTTTTTTTGTGCTCAAGTTGTGTGACTGTTGCTGCTTCATGACTTTGTCGTACCTTCTATTGGATTTCATAAAATTCTTGCTATTTGGGTAGGTGTATTTATTTGCAATAGACTTAGTTTTGAATTTATGGGCTTAACTTTGAATTAAATGAAGGTTTCCAAATGATTTCAAGCATTTCCAAACTTTTATGTAAGACTTCTACTCTGGTTTGTTTTTCTTGAAACTTTGATATCATGGTTGATCAAAAAGACCCTCCCGCAGTACTATATTTCTTGTTGGTTACTATATTTTTTCATCCGCAGCAAAATTGATGCTATATTCCTGCTAGATGTCTTGGGTGCATTTTTGTACTTTTGGCTAGGAAAACTAGTGTATGCGGGATCTTACCTCTTCAGCTCCCAAAAGAGAGGAGAAATAACACTTACATTCGCCAACAAGAACACTTTCCAGAGTATTTAATGTTCTGAAGATATTTTATTGAAATTTAAATTGACTGGAAATTGTCTTCAGAATGTGATTCTTGTGTTCTGGTGATCTATCTATTGTTTAACTTTTTCTTGGGACATTTTTCAAGGATGAGGCGATCTGACTTCCATTTTTGTAGGCAGGCCAACTTATGAATTTCCTCACCCATTGGCGCGTGTACCTCAAAGCGCTGGTTATTGGGTATGCTTTTGAGTATCTGCCATTCTTTTTTTTTTTTTTTGTTTTCATCATCTGCAAATAAAGAGATTCTCTCTTAAATTTCACCAACAATTAGATTCTCTCTTAAATTTCACCAACAATTTCGTTCCCTAATTTTTTGTTACTGGTTCCAGCTCTCTTATATACTTGTAGATTTACTGATCTGGTGGGGCATAAGAGGATACATTAATGACTTCAGGAAAAAGAAGTTGAAGCTTCCGTCTATTGCATACTTCAGCATGTTCAATGGGTCAATATCTCATTTTCCAACTGGCTACATGTGGAGTCCCCATGTTGTACCAAAGCCGAATGGTGAGGATTGTTTATTCCTCCGTGGGGGTGGAATTTATTCATGCACTGATAATGGGATTTAAATCTAACAATTTTATCATTCCATTCTTCTACAAGGCTTTAGGACCCTCCACTGTCTTTTCTTCTTCCACTTTATAGTGTCCTAGATGTTCATTACTATGAGTGCACTCCACTCTATGCCTGCACAGGGTCAGTAGAAAATAGAGAAAGATAAAACGAAAAAAACCAGAGAAAGCCAACGCAAAATATGAAAAAAAAGAGATGGGTTACTGTAGCACCACAGTGCCCCCACGTGCCCTGCTTTTAAGGAGGGTGTGGGGTAGGCGGTCATGCTGGCTGGTTAGTGTTCATATGAAGTAACTAAATGTTCAACCCATCAATTCACCCAGTTTTCGAACACTCACCCAGACCCAATCCGCATGCATTATAGGATTTGCAGTTGTATTTGGGATAAATCTGCACATGTGCTTAGCTGGTTATCCTAGGCTTGGTTAATTTATATTTAGGATTTGGATCCTTTTACTGTTCATACATATCTGTACATGCATGTTAAGTTCCATTGATTTATGTGCCCAGTGTATCTTAAATGAGTGGTGTCACTTCAGCGTATCTAAATCTAGGGATTAATAAACTTCTTCATTAATGTTCTCTAACTATTCTCCTTAAAGGGACATCTGTTTGGATTTTTCACCAATGTGCTTTGAAGATGTTAGAGCAATTGTTTCATATTCATTGTGTGAATATTCGTAGTTGTTAGTGTCTTATGATATGTTACAATCTAGTGAAAAACACACTACTATTAGTGACACGTATCTTTGTTCACCATATCGTACGATACGTGATACACATCTTATGATACATTTCAATACCGCGAAAAGACGATATGCATAGGATAAGTTTTTACTTTTTTTTTCCTATTCTAAACAATGAAGTGACATAATTTTCTATAAGTTAATATTTTTTTTTTCGGTTTTGTTGATTGTATTACTATAATATTATTAGGGTTTACATTTATTGTAATATGTATACCACACAAAGGGTATACATGTCCTTTGCATGTTTGTTTAGTAAGTATAAATACAAGTTGATAATGAGAGTTAGGGTAAGTCAAAACCTCTCTTTGCCTCTCCTATATCGTGTTAAGTTTGTCTCTACTCTAAACTTAACATGGTATCAGAGCAATTAGGTCCTAGTTTAATCTTTCATTAATCATCTTCTCTTTTCTCTTTTTGTTTTCTTCTATTCTTTTCTCCTTTTGCTTTCTTCTATTCTTTTCTCCTTTTGCTTTGTCTTTGTGAGAAGTCTGTCCTAGTTCTCGCGCATCCCACAATTGGTGGGTGATGGGTTTGCATTGAAATCATGCACCTATTGGTGTTGTTGAAGCCGATGGTGTAGTGGTCGGTGATCGTGGTGGTTATGGTTGTGGTTGGTGGTGGTCGTATCGATTGCCCTTGGTGGTTTCGTGGATCTGGTGGTTGTTAGAATCGTTGCTGAAGTGCGTCCTTGCTCTTCCTATCATAGTTGTCAAATCGTGTATCGGAAGGCGTATCGTTTTTAAAAAAATGGCGTATCGTGTATCGTATATCCTAAGATATCCACAATTTTAATTTTTAAATAATTATTAATAAAATATATATATACCTTTGTAAAAAAACTCAGAGACTCATAATAATATATAACATTTCATTAATATTTCACCAATTATTCAAGTTTCTAATATAGTTCAGTAATATCAAAATGCAAAGACCTTTAATTCAAACTTATAATATAACATCAACTGCTTGAACAACTTTAATATTAATCAGGAATTTTGAACTTAATTAAACAATATTAACAACAAACTTTATTTTATTTTTTTAATCTATAAGCTCTGAAATGATGTCATTTCAGCTCCAAAAAACCAAAAAAATAAAAAAACAGAATCATCACGTATCGTATTGTGTATCGTACGATATGGTACAAAAACGGTACAGAGACACAATATGTATTGTTTTTTAGGTATATCGTAATATATCGTATGATAATAATAACTGTGTTTCCTATTGTTGGTGATGTATATCGTCACTTCGTTGTGCCGTGTAAGTGTTCTGTGATCGTGTGGGTTGTCGCGTTGTGGTCGGCGTGGGTTGCTACCAGAGTTTATTGTGGTCGTCGGAGTTTGGTTATGTCATCTGTGTGAACCATTGTGTTGGAGCTAGGGGTTCGTTGAAATGCTTACAGTGAAGACGACGACTCTCACTTTGTTGAGTCAGATCGGATCTTCCACGGTTGTGTGCTTAAATAATTTCCAAAGCCCAGCAACCTAGGTTCAAGCCCAAGGAAGTTTGGTCCAAGGAAGTTTAGGCCCAATCAGATTTGGTCCAGCCAGACTGTTGGCAGTTCAACCTAACCCAGGTTTATCCCAGTTCAGCTTAGGCCCAAGGAAGTTTGGTCTAGCCCTTCATTGTCATTCCAGGCCGGTTCGGCACCTCTCAGGACAGTTCAGGTCTAGTTCAGCACTTCCAGTACCTTCCAGGCCGGTTCAGGCCTGGTTCAGCACGGTTCAGGCTTGGTTCAGTAGGTTCAGTTCCGGTTCAGCAGCTATCTAGCCAGTTCATGCCTGGTTCTGCATGGTTCAGGCCAGTTCAGCAGCTATCCAGCCACCTCACCTTAGTTTATGTGATTTTTTGCCAGTTCCAAGATTTTTTCGTGTTCGAATCACACTTGGGTGAAATTTCTTTGTTGTTTCTTTATCTTTCTTTGGACTATTTTTTTGTGGTATAACTATGGAATCCAAGAATGATGACCAGTCAGTCATTGGGAACAATAAGATGCTCAGTTTATTTTATTATTATTGAATAGCATTGATGTCAGTATTAGCTCTACTTTGCTTTATCTCGTCATGGCTAAAACAAATTTGGGATTACTTGGCCACCAGATAATTTTACTCGTGCATATGAGGTGTGCAAAAAGTATTTTTGCCAGGGTACTCTAAGTCTTGAGGACTATTATTCTTACGTTCGAGGAGTTCGTGAGCAATTGAAGTTCTATCACCCATGCACTACTGATGTAGTAGGTTGACAGAAGCAACATAAATATTTGAATGTTGTTCGTTTTCTTGTGGGTTTGAAACCTGAATATGAGCTTATTCACTCAGATTTTGGGTGGCTTCAGTCTTCCATCTCTCCATGAGGTTTTCTCACATTTATAGCGTACTACCTTGTTTATTAGCTCTCCAGGCATTGATCATGGATTGCCCATTGATCGCTCAACTCTTGTTGTTTCTAATGGCCACAGTGATAGTCCTCGAGGTGGCCGAGACAATCGCGGTAGTCATGGAGGTTGTACTGGAGGTTGAACTAGTTCTCGTTCATGCACTCATTGTGGTCGAGGCCACGCTGTTGATTATTGTTGGGATTTACATGGAAAGCCTTTAGGCATTGCTAATCAGGTCTTCTATCAGGATGACAATTCCTCCCTACCTGTGTCTATACCTCGGTCGGCTCCACCTGACTCTGGGTTAGTTACTCTTACACGAAAGGAGTATTCTGATTTCCAGTCTCTATACTATGCTGTTCCATCTTCCTCCACCGTTATTTTTGTCCAATCATGTACTGCTTTTATTTGTTTGTTGTCTTTTACTCACAATCCCTAGATCATAGTTCAAGGTTGTGGTATCGGTCATCAACTCGGAGAGTTTTGAGACACATCGGTTGCGTCGTCGTGGTGCAATATCGGGCGATACGACTTAAAAGAAAATTTTGAATATGACGAGAAATTCAAGTTATATAGTAGCGTCATGAAACCGTATTGGCCAATTCGTTGACGACATTTCAGTGATTCGGATACAACTTGGATGACTTGGTTGAATTGTGCGAGACTCGGAGATTATACATATGATATAACGGTATCGTCTCCAAAGGTATCGAGACTCGACCGACTCATATCGGTATCGGCCGACACTTTAAACTATGCCCTAGATCTCGGCGTTTCTGGCCATATGACTGGTTCGTATATTTTTTACTTATTAGTCTATTACTTTATTGCACAATATTACTATTGTTAATGGTACTTTTCTAAAATTTCAGGTTTAAAGACTACTCAATTGAGTTTGATATGTCCTTATCATCCGTTTTATATGTTCTCAAATTCCTCTTTAACTTACTTTTTATTAGCAAGATTTACCACTCCCTTATTTGTTCAGTAACTTTTTATCTTTTTTATTGTGTGTTTCAGGATTTACAAAAGGAAGATTTGTACGGGCCATAAAGCTGGTGGTCTTTATTACTTTGACCTTGATCTACCTCTCGGGCCCTTTAGACCTCGTCATCTCCCTTTCAGTGGCATTATCGTCTTGGTCATCCTTCTCTCAAGAATCTGAAATGTCAAGTTCCTAGCCTTAGTCATGTGTCTTCTGTGTCTTGTGAAACTTGTCAACTGAGTAAGCATTACTGTGTCCTTTCAGTCTAGAGGCAATAACCTCTCGGGCCCTTTAGACCTCGTCATCTCCCTTTCAGTGGTATTATCGTCTTGGTCATCCTTCTCTCAAGAATCTGAAATGTCAAGTTCCTAGCCTTAGTCATGTGTCTTCTATGTCTTGTGAAACTTGTCAACTGAGTAAGCATTACTGTGTCCTTTCAGTCTAGAGGCAATAACCATGTGTCTAACTCATTTGAATTAGTCCATTCTGATGTATGGGGTCCAATAAATAATATTTCATCTAATAAATTTTTTTATTTTGTGTCATTTGTGGATGATTATTCTTGTGTGACTTGGTTATTTTTTATGAAAGCTTGTTCAAAATTATTTTTTATATTTGAAACTTTTCATAAAAAAATAAAAATCTAATATGGTTGTCGTATTCGTATTTTACGTTCTACTAATGTTCGAGAGAATGAATCTGATCATTTTTGTCTTATCTTCGTAAATTGGCATTATTTATAAAATTTTCTGTGCCTATACCTCTCAGCAGAATGGTGTTGGTGAGCGTAAGAACTGACATTTGTTGGAAGTTATCTGCGCATTGTTATTCTAGATCCATGTTCCTCGTTGTTTTTGGAATGAAGCTTATCTTACTATTTGTCACCGGATTAATCGCATGCCGTCTTTTGTGTTAAATGGGCAAAGTCTATATACTATTCTTGTACCGAACACATCCCCTAAGGTTTTAGGGGTGTCTCTTATGTTCATTACTTGGGGCCTGAGTTTGATAAACTTGATCTTCGTCCTACAAAATGTGTCTTCCTTAGATATTCTCGCACACCGAAGGGACAACGTTATAGTACCACCCTTCGTCGATACTTCATTAGTGCTGATGTCACCTTTAATGAATCTGTTTCATATTTTTTGGCTCTTGATCAACCTCTGGATCTTGACTTTAGGCCTTCCACAATGTATGGTTGTCTCTTTCAATCTCTATCGCAAATATGCATCTTATGAGATGATGAGAGATGAAACCGTATTTATATTATTTTGGACATTATGTATTTTTATATTTATCTAGACTAGCAATGCTTCATATACGTTGTATGTAAACAATTTTAAATAATTATTTTTATGTTAAATATATGAAAATATGAATTATATGAGTAATTCAAATTAAATTATAAATTAGCTATTGTAGAATTATTCATTATTTTAATTCTGCCAAACTTAAATGTTGATCTATTCTAAGCCCTTTGACTACCTAATCTGTCATTTATTAAGAAATCTTTCTAGTCCTCTATAGACATTTTCTCTTTTGCTTATAATGGAGCTTCATTGTAAAATTGTTCTTCTTGAGTGTTTGCATATCGGATAAAGTGTTCTTATTAAAATATTGTTACATTGTTGCATACCAAAAAATCATTTATAACATATATTTGATTGTAGAACCCAATCTTGTAACTATATGTATATAACAATAGAATATAGATTGGACTTTGTTTTTTCATACAGATATAGACACGAATATAGAAATTGTATATAACTGTCTTACTTATAAATGAGTTTAAAAAAGAAAAATGGAAGTCAATACTACTTATAAAAGAACCCAAAAGAACATAGAAGTCATATGCTACTTTTAAAAGAGTCCAACAGAACTTGAAACTCAAATAGGTATAAAAAACAAAAATTAGATCAAAGTAAATATGAGGATATAATTGACTTTATGATAATAATTAAGAATAAAATAAGAAATTGAATTTTTTTTATTAGTATAGATATGGTCATTTAAATGTGTTTTAAAAAATTGAATATATCTTAACGAGACATGATACATTATTTTTCGAAAACAATATGCATTGCAATACACATTTGGACAACCTTGTAAATGTCACATATGCTGTTTTTGTTCATGTTCAAAGCTTCTTACCATGGGCAAATATTTTAGAAATATTAATACTTCATGCATCGCAAACTTACATGGATTGATATCTATTTGATCCATGTGCAGATTGGGGCCCCCTAGTTGATGTTGTTGGTTATTGTTTCCTAAATCTTGGGTCAAAGTATCAACCTACTCAAGAGTTCGTACGTTGGATCCAAAAAGGACTCAAACCCATATATTTTGGCTTTGGAAGCATGGTATGATGATGTGTTTATATTTTTATGAGTTACATTCTCCTTGGTTTTGGTTACTTTTCTTTGTATTTTTTTATTGGGGGTGTCATTATTTACATTTATGATGGGTAACGTGTTTAATTTGCTGATATTGTTACTTGTTGCTTGTTAAGCCTCTTGAAGATCCCAAGAAAACCACGTATATCATTTTGGAGGCATTGAAGAATACAGGACAAAGGGGAATAATTGACCGAGGTTGGGGAGATCTTGGCACTTGTAAGTATTTCTTAGACATACGTGTTACTTCTTGCTTTCTGAAGAGGCTCACTACAATATGGTGCGTCACTAAGAGAGATTCTATTGAATGTATTTCTAGCAAGTCAGGTCAATGCATTGTTTATGCATTTTTCTTTCATCATTTTGCTGGTTGAGCAAGATTCCCCCTCCCCCCAACCAAAAAAAAAAATTGCTAAACATTTCTCTACTATGAGAACCTTATACTCTCTCTCTCTCTCTATATATATATATATATATATATATATAGTGCTATCTATTTATGCACCTATCTATGATTATTGTGCTACTTTGGATTGAATGTTTGAAAAATTCTTTTTTATACCCTATAAAGCACGGATACTTTGTCATGGTCGACGTCCTTGTATCGGATACCGTATCAGATACGATATTCGTTGGATACATATCATATATATCTAATAATTAATAAAATATGTTGATACTCCGTGAATACTTCTACACATGAAGCAAGATGTATAGTTTTTAATATTAATCTGTACCCTCTCTTTTTGAGTTCATACACAATACAATACATCAATAAAATTCTATTTGACTTTAAAGAAATGAGTAGTTTCACTATAGTCTTAGAAATAAATACTTGTAAACAAACCAACTAGTTAAATGTTAGTTTTGATTCTTTTAATTAGTCACGTTCACTTTATGAATATATCATACTTGTAAACAAACCAACTAGTTAAATGTTAGTTCTGATTCTTTTAATTAGTCACGTTCACTTTATGAATATATCATAATGAGATGATATTACACTTTTTTCATGGTAAAAATTGTTAATTTAGTTTACTATTGTTAAATAATTATTAAAAATTGTAATTTCTAAGCTATTAAATAATAGTAACATATAAAATATTTTTGACTATAGATGTATCTTAACCGTACTCGTATCCTATTTTTTTTAGGTTTTGTTGTGTCGCCATATCCGTATTGTACCCGTATCGTATATCCTCCATGCTTCCTAGGTTATACTCTGTATGGAACTGCATTTTACTTGTTCATTGATGAGCTCTTTGTTTCATGTGTTCTGCCATACATGAGTATTGTTTTTCCTCCCTTATAGATGTTCACCTTTATTGTCCTGATGTCGTTTCACGCGAATTAATTCATGTTACCTATGTTCTGTCCAGTTTCACTCAAGGAAAAATGAAAAAAAAACACTTCAAATTGGCTGACACCTGAGCATGCATATGCACTTGACCAGTCATGATCACTGGTAGTTAGCCCCACAAGACTTTTATACGATTCTTCAAGTTGTCTCTCACCAATTTGTTTCTTCCTCGGTGATATTTTCAAACCTCCTGTAATGGCTTTGTTCAACTTACTTATTCGGCAAGCGAACTCCGACTACTTTGACCGAATTCTTTCTCCGACTACTTTTACCGAATTCTTTCTCCGACTTCAGTGTTGGATTGACTAGCTCCCTGTAGGGTTTTAGTTCAGTGGGTCAATCTGAATCCAACCCAAAAAATTCAATAGTTGGATAGAGATTTTCAGTATTCTAAGTTAGGAGTGAGTAAAAAAATAAATTCAACCCGTTTTTATTTGGGCAGTACTCGGGTTTTTGAGACCCATCTGTGTTCAGGTTTAGCGCAACACCCTTTCCCTCTCTCTCTCTCAAAACAAAATGACGCCCTTTTTTTCCAATTCATCTCTTCACTTCTTTCCCACTCCAGAATCTGAGTTACAGCTAGGGTCCGATTCATATCTCTACTTCTTTCTCTCTCTATAAGATATCTCAGATTCTTCGAACCCACACAAAACGTCTTCCATTCACCATGCACACCTTCCTTGTCTTCAATCTGGGGCCTATTCTTCCGCTTAGATGCAGGAGTGCTGCATTTCCATTGCATGTGGAAGCAAACAAAAATATTGAATTAATAGAGAAGGCAGAGGGTATTTCGTGCTCGGTTGTGTCCTTTTGCTGTCAATTCTTATAATTTTTTGTATGGATTGGGTTTGGGGATTACATGGTAGCTGATTGTATGTTTGATGTCCAAACTACTACTTTACTTGGTGATTTCTTTCCGTCCTGTTTTCTAATTTTATTATTGCTGGTGTTTTACTTTATAAAGCTATGTTTGGTTGCAGAGAAAATAGGATACCTCACTCTACTGAGTGGATTTTTTACTCTCTCTTATGGGTAATTCTTTCTCGTTTCTAATTTATATTGCAGTTCCAGAAATTCCTGACAATGTATTCCTTCTAGAGAATTGCCCTCATGATTGGTTGTTTCCTCAGTGTTCCGCTGTGGTAAGTTTTCTTAAAGCTACTTCTGAATTGGTGAGCTATATTTTTTTTGGTTTTTTAGTGGTTAATTCTTGGTTCTAGGTTTATATGGATGTTGAAATGGGATTGTACATTAATACCAAGAATTTTATGCTCAAGTATAGTCATTATTGTCATTAAGAGAACAGAAGTTGCACCTTCACGTGTGGTGTTTATGACGGGAAATGGTGTATCAGTGATTGTTTTACTTGCCATTAAGAGTTGCTCATTTGTTTAATATGTGTAGGTTCATCATGGTGGTGCTGGAACCACAGCTACAGGACTAAGGGCTGGGGTAAATATTCTTGTTAGTTTCGTTGTACTATTATCATTTGTGCTTAAAATTGAGATTCGATGCTTTATGGTAATCACTTTTCTTTTCTATATGTTAAAGCTATAATATGTTGTCTAATTTTGAGATGCAGTGTCCAACAACCATAGTGCCATTTTTTGGAGATCAATTTTTTTGGGGTGAAAGAATTTATGAAAAGGAACTGGGACCAGCTCCAATTCCTATGTCTCACTTCAGTGTTGAAGCCCTTTCAGATGCTATAAAATTCATGCTCCAACCAGAGGTAAGTAAAGCATGTGTGGGGGTGTATACCTACTTACAAAAGAGTCATCTCAAATGCAATTCTTGTTTGATGGATTAGGCCAATCATTGTTGTCCACTTCACATATGAAGTTATGTGTAGTCTCAACAAAATTCGCTACTGAGAATGTCTACATATTCCTTTCTACATTCAACTTCAAAAATTTGTTGGAGCTATACATAGTTCCATACATATTGATAAGATGCAAACCACCCCCTCCCCCCCCCAAAAAAAAAAAAAAAAAAAAAAAAAAGACTGGAAAACTTGTAAAGAAGTTGAAGGAAAATGTCAAAGAACATAGAAACCCAAGAACTTGTGCTTGGTAATTTTCAAGCATCAACTGAGGAGGGCTATCAAATCAATTATGTTGCCTTAGCTTCTAGGATAATGCAACCAATCTTTAACTCCATGACAAGACTCCGTTTGAAAATCATCCACTGAACATGCTTTTAGAACCCCCCCCAAAAAAAAAAAAAAAAAAAAAAAACAAATCCTGCACACACATTTGCAAGGCCCAACTAATATTATTGGGAGTCCTTCCTATATGGAAACTTGATACAAAATGTGTCATACCCCTGACCTACACAATACGAGACATTATAGATCAGGGGTTAGTAAATTCAAGTTGGTGAGGCTACTTACACTGCAGGATGCATATATGCTATGTGGCAGCCTGCCTATGCACTAAGGGTAAGTTTTTCACCAGTTGGCATGGGATAGCACGGAAAATTCAAAAACATACTAAATGGGCAATCTGAAGCTATGGTTGCTAGGGAGTGATTAGTGCACATTATCGATTTGGTAATTTCTGTAAATATTAAGGCAAACTATATGAGTGCTTTGAAGCTATGTTTGCTAGGGAGTGCTTATTGCACATTTTTTTTCCTTGTTTTAGTAGAGTGAGAAGAAACAAAGATTTCTTATACAATGTATGCTTTTCTAATTACATCCGAGTGTTGTAATTATGATAAGTTTTCTTTTTTATGCTTGTTCTAAATTTCTAAACTTCATATGGCGAACAATATGTTCGGTATGTCTGTTTAAATAGCTGTAAGGCTTTCTTTTGCTTGAAAATAGAAGCACTTGTTTACTTTGCATAATTTTTTTTTTCCTTGATGAAACTTTGACTCTGCCAGGTGAAATCTCGAGTAATAGAATTAGCAAAGTTGATAGAGAATGAAGACGGCGTTGCTGGTGCGGTTGATGCATTTCACCGTCATTTGCCGCCTGAGCTACCATTGCCAACTCCATCTTCAGAAGATGATGACCATCCAAACCCCTTGCAAAGGCTCTTTATCCAAATTGGGAAATTCTGCAGCCTCACTTGTGGTTTGTAGTTTTTTGCAGCACTGTAGAGATATAATTCTTTTCGATGTATTTTCTTCTTGTTTGTATCTGTTCATCATTTCATTCATTTCATTCAGGGATCTCCTATGTGGGTTTGCATAGTATAGGTATCCAGCTTCACATGTTCTGTGACACAAAAATAGCATTCTTGTGTCTGCGTTTGCTGTATTTAATTAAGCTGATGGTTTGAGGGTACCTGGGTTGTAAATTAACAATCCTAAATTTTTTACAATTCATGAGTATGATCTACAAAACATCATCAACTCCTTGGGCTTGTATTGTATTGATTTTTGGAAAGTGAGCTTGTGTTTTGAGGGTGGTTGACTTACTTCTGTTGATGCAAGTGATAGTTAGGTTAGCAAGCCTAATTTCTGCCATGAAGGACATAATTTCTGCATCTGCTTAGAGAAAACTAAGCTAGCTGCCATTTCATATCCTTGCCCTATGTCCTAACCGTTTTGCTCATTGCTTTTGTGTGAAAGTCTTTTTGTGTCAAAATAATGTAAAATTTTGAACAGCTGGATGTCTTGTATGTACATGATTCAAGTTTTAAGAATTTTAAATTCATATGAGTTGCACTTGTTAGCACCTATCAAAGCATAGCAAAAGAGCAGAAGCGGATTCATGCAGGGAGCTCGGACTAGTATGTTGGCAACATTTTCGACATTACCTGAGTCGAGTTGCACCTATTGGAAATCTGGCCTGCTTCAAAAAATGAAACCATGGCAATCTTGCAGGTGTCTCTCTGTAATCACAAAATCCCAATCTTACTATTCTTCTTTATTTTTTTTTTGGAGTTCATCTGCTACATCATGTATTTATTTCATATTGATGCATTGATTTTCAGGAGGAAGACTGCAAAGGTTGTGAATAAATGTATTACAAATTTCATTTGAATTTATATTTTTCATCATTACTTTTTGTAGATTTGATATTTTTCCACCTTGATTCCATATAATTGCTTGAATTATCTGGTGCAGCATAGACTCCACATTTGAAGTACAAGTCACCAGACCCCTGATCATTATTCACAAACTTTTGGATGCCATCGATGAACACTGTAAGGTTTCCTTCATCCACATTGTGGATTACATTTAATCTGAACCAACTGTCATACAGATTGGAATCCACCAGTTCAAACCCGTTGTACCTCATATCGCCATTGTAGATTCTTAGTTGCAGAGTCGTAGCTCCCTTTCTAGCCCCAAGTGAATGAGATTTACTGTTGATAATCATTCCGATGTTTTTTTTTCAGTACAATGAACCACTACCAAGTAGGGGTAATTAAGTGAGTTTGTGGAGTTTGGGTATGCTTATACTTGATGTAGATGTGATTGAAGGTTGAGTTCAATCTCAAATTGAACTCAATTACTGAGTTTAAACTTTTGCTTAAGTTTATCTCATGGGAAGTATATAAGCATTCAACTCCAACTTGTCGAAACCAAGATCAATCTTTTGATGCATTTTGCTATTTAAACGAATCTAAACAAGTTAAAATTAAGTCAAGCCTAGCATATAGATCAGTGTCTTTAACTGTTGCTACAATATTTATATCAAAGTATGCATGTGAGAGAGAGAGAGAGAGAGAGTACTTGGATGCGAACTTCTGTGCGTGGCCTTGTGCCACTGCCAGTCTTGAAAGGCTTGTCATTTGTATACATCCATAATCTTCAGTTTCCATCTTCATAACTGTATCGATCGTCTAGGGGCTCATTATACGGTTTTTGTAAACCGAAATTCCGGTCTGTTAACGGCACCTTGGTGAATCCATCTGTGGGATCCGCAGCAGCACGGAATAGATAAAGATTCGTGGAAAAGCTCAAAAGCAGCAGGAATGAAAGACTCTAGGAGAGAAAGAGCCATGCTCATGTGATATATGCTAACCCAGAAGTTATTGAGTTTCTGGGTTTTTAGTTGTGATGCTTCCTCCTCTATCTTAGGACTTGGAAAGCCCTTTAATAGAGGTCACCTTGCACTAGCAGAATACAGAATAGTTGCATTCCTCTAGTCTCTTTAGATGTGCAAGAAAACAATAACTTAATACAATAATGATTTTTCTATCCAGCATTTCCGGTCAAATTGAGGTAATTTATATATGTTTATGTCATGTTTGATTCGGATATAATACGAGGCGATTAGAAATTGATTTTCAATCCATTTTTATACTGGGTTTGGATTAAGGTTTGAATGAATTGTGAATCCGTTGTCTAAGTATCAATTCCGAGTTTGGATGGGAGATTAATGTCTGGTGTTAAATTTAAAGAGATTAAAGCACATAATGTCAATCAATCCATGACTCTACCACCTATTAGGGATACTCGAGTCATTTGTGTATTAATGCCAATCAGGTCTTAGGCAATACCACCTATCATACGATACAAGTTTATACCTAGTATACGGTGTTAAATGATACTATTACATTGTGCCAATAATAACAAAATCAATAAGATTGGACCTTAACCTTACAGTCTTTTAGAGTCGCCCATTGTTGGAGGGAGAGCAATAGAGCCACCTTTATTGCTTGATGTTCAATTCTGTCTTAATGTACCCAAGAGATTCCCCTTAGCCAGAACATGTTTTTCCTCTGACTTTCTCTCTCATTCGCGGAGTGAAGAAAGCCGGCTTTGTCCCAACTACCGTTATCTTTGGGAAAGTAAAAGAGCTATCGAAGGAAAGGGATGCAGTCTCTCCCTTGGCCTTTGGAGAGGAGAGGGCAAATAAAGGGTTTTTTTTTTTTCAAGAAACTCCTGTCTTAATCTTCGTTTTTAAGCAGAGGATATAGATATGAAAAAAAGTAACCGCTTGACAAATCGTTTTTTATTTAGTTTTTAAGTAGAATGTTCATTATGATGAGTGATTGTTGGTTAATAGTGCAAGATTGGGAAGGTAAGGGGTGTCATTTGAAGTGGAGGAGGGTGTCTCTGGTGTTGCCATTCGAAAATATTGCAGAAGCTGTGGTATGTTGGATCAGGCGTGTGCCAATCTTTTGGCTGATACCATGTCAAACTATGGTAACAAATAAAAAACAGAGATCTTGTTTGAATGGTTTGACTTATTTACCAAAACCTTGTGTATTGCTTTGTATTTATAGCTATACAATTAAACTAACTGAGCAAGAAAAGGAGTAACAGAAGGATTCAATTTAGCCTAACGTATAATTTTTATGTTTGAACAATTCAAAATGGATTCTGCACTAACTGAATCCCATGTTTTACTGCAGACTCTTCCTACTCTCTCTGAATACACTCTAACACAAACCTACTATTGAAGAATCTTTGCACTAATCCCGAACCGAACACGTCCTTAAGTTATCAATTATAGCTACAAAAAAGTAACTTCTTTTTTTTTTTTTTTGCTATACTAGAGAATGGTTCCAATCACTCATTCTTTAAACTCATTATTATAACACAAATCTCGTCATTTGCCAATCACATGCATTGGTGAAACCCGGGATCTTATTCATGTGTTTTTGAGGCTCTAAACTATAAGTTAATTTTCGTCTATTGTTTGTATTATTTGACCAAACTAATAGGGTTAAATGAAGACCAAAGAGAACCAACAAAAAAAGGTTAAGATGAGGTCAAATTACCCCCAAATTATATTGCTCCACTTGACAAGAATTCATGTTTGTTTAAGAGTTTTTCTCTTGGCTGATCAGAATAAAACACTGTTTCAAGGTAGGAAGGTGGGTCCCAGTTTCAGAATACAAAAATGTGACCTATTTTTCAAATTTTTTTGATGAATAATAAGCTAATGTCTTCTGGCAGGGTGGTTAGTGTGTTATCCATCCAATCATAGAAGATGCCATTGGGGCCACGAAGGGTTGGTATCACAAGTTTGTTTTCTCTTTTTTATCATAAAAGATGGTGAATGGTTCCGATTATAACACTACTTTGTCGTTTTTCTTCCTTTGTCACTAGGTTGTAGGGTGCAACTCGGGCATGTTAGGTGGGTTGAAAAGTCAATTCTAGTTTAATTTTAGGTATATAATCGTTAATTTTAACCCTATCTCAACTCGAGGTATTTAGTCCGAGTTTAATTCTGGCAAGCTCAAGTTGAACTCGGGTTGATTTTGAATTAAAAATTTGATTGGACTTGGGTCACTTAATTTGAGTTGATTTTTTGAAGTGTAAATTTGATTTTTTCAAGTGTAGATCTAATTTTTTCAAATAATCTAAGAGGAAAGGCGAGGCATAAATGAAGAAATAGGGAGTGAGAGAGAGAGAAAGAGGAGTGACAAGTGAGAGAGGGAGGCTAAGAATCTGAAACCAGATGAAAGACAAGTGAGAGAGAGATTTGAGAGTGATGGAGGCGCAGGGATAAAAACTTGAAGTGAAATGAAAGTCTGAACTCTGAATAGTGAAGATATATACTAACTCTAGTTAAATATATTTATATATTTATGTATATTCAGGTTCAGCCCTATTATTATTTTAATATTCGAGATTTTAATATTCGGGTTGAACTTGACAACTCGATGTCTCAACCCGAGGCTAGCTAGAATTCAATTCGGGTTGAGATTTTTTTGCCCAGGCCCAACTCAAACATTAAAAATTCTAATCAAAGTCCTATTTTTTTGGAATTGAATTTAGATTGAATTCGTGTTGACCGACCCAAGTTGCACCCCAATTAGGTGGAGACACGATTAGAACAATGAATATTGAGACTAGACCTTGTCATCTCTCTTTTTTATTTTTGATATTACGGTTAGAGTGTCTAAATTAGTTTACGAGTATCTCGATTAATCTATTTTTAAATTTAGTTAAAAAAATTTATAAAATATAAATCTTTCATATTTTAACTCTAAAAAAAATTATTAAATGTTGAACTCAAAAAGCCTGAGTTTACGATTAGACTACTACCCTTGGGGTTGAAGACCGAAGCCATAACGTGAGCCTTGACAAGTAGTACGTGGCCGATGAGGTCCTACAATTTTTAAAAATAAATTAGTGTCTTTTGAGGTACCAAAATATTTATTAAAATTTTGTATTCAAGTCTTATTAACATGTTTTTTAATTAGATATTATAGTTAATTCCAACAAAGTGTGATACCTAATATAATGGTAAAATAGGATTTTACTAGTTTTAATATTAATATAATAAATTAAAAGAAACAAAAATATAAACTATAAATAATAAACATTAAGCTAAATATCAGACTCGTATGGTATTTTATATTGTCATTAACAACATAAATAATTTTTTAATAAACTCAAATCAAATATAAAAAACTCTAAATTTTATTTTTTTGAATATTAAAATAAAATTGAATTTAATTAAATATATATCTAAAAATTTTATTTGAACATTAAACTTAATTAAACATCCATAAAATAAGACCCTAATGATTCAGGGGCATAAAGCGACGATTTTAATGACTATGTGATTGAGCCGGCCCTACGGCCTTCCATGTGATAACTAGTGGAAGGTCGATAGCCCAATGTAAAGTGTCATGGGCCTTAGTTGATATCATCCAGGCAACCCAAAGGGCTTGGTCCATTAATCCGGCAAAATTCAATAGAAATTGAAAATAGGTCATATTTGCTGTAAATAATTGCATGTGGATGACCCCCCACAGCATTAATCCCGTCCCCACCACATTAAAGCTTCTCCTTGCCGACACCAAATGTAAACCCTTCATTTGCCTATAAAAGGGGCTTCAGTGTTTTGAAAGAAAATACACACAGAAAAGCACATAAAGAAAAAAATAAAAGAGAAGAAAAGATATAGTGTAATTCTGAAGATTAAACCACGTGTACGCATTGGATTGAAATATCCCGGCAATTAAGGTGGTAGGTACACTGCCCTATTTGCTTGATCCGAATGAACAAAGGTACGCAAACTTGAATCAGAAAAATAGTCCATTGAGCAAAATCGTTCGACTTTATACTGACTTAAGCTTTGGAGGGGATTAGCAGGGCGCTCATCTGACCCTGTTGTTTCAGGTTTGCCAGCTTGGAGATCGCTGTCTCATACTATTGCAGGAATTATCCCGTGCAATTTGGCGCCGTCTGTGGGAAACGAAGACATTTTTCCCGGTAGCGATTGTCTAAAGGTGAACACTTAATCTCAGGGTGAGGGAGCAAGTGTATGGGCTAGGAACACAGAGCCCATCTGGCTTTCAATGGTTCGAGAGCCGAGTTCATAGGGTCAATCAAATGGGGTGGGGCATTCTTCGCAAAGAACGCTTCCTATGGATCAAGGCCTTGGGGGGCGTGACCTCATGGCCCATGACATCGTTGAGATGGTGGAAAAGCGGATGGGCAAACACATTAAGCAGCTTGAAAGGGAAAACGACAAGGTTCAACAACATCTTGACGATTTTGAGCAGTCAGCGAGCGTGAGTGAACATAGTCGCAGGTTCAGGGACCAAGTGCTTAGCTAGAACCTGTCCAGCCCCCCCTAGCATTGACCCTCTAGGAAAGATTGGATTAGACACTCACCCGAGGGATGTAACCGCCAATGAAGGTTCTCGGCCTCCAAGGGTAAGTCGGAATCGGGCCAGAAGACAAGCCAGTCCAGGTGGGACCTGCGCTGAGGGATACTTGAGGGCGTCGGAGCCGCCGAATCACAAGCAGAGTCCATACCCCGAATGCCTCGAGAAGAAAGATCAAAAAAGGATCCCAGGGTCCCCTTTGTTGCTCAGCGCAACCATGTGCCCGAGGTCTACTCCGAAGAAGTTATCTCACTGTTTGTTCGGGCTATCAGGGGAGGCCGAGATGCCAAAGAAGTTTATTGTCCCAAGGTTCAAAGTCTATGATAGGAAAATCAATCCCAAGAGCCATATTCGGCAATACAGACAATTGATGTCAATCTATGATACTGACCAAAGGGTGTTGTGCCTAGTTTTTCCCATGAGCCTAGGGGACACAGGCATGAAGTGGTATGAGAACCTTGCTCCTGAGAGCGTTAGGTCCTGAAAACAATTGAAGGAGCTTTTCATAGCTCGATTCATCACCAACAGTAAGAAATCGAAGGACATTAGCACTCTGTTGACGCTTAGGAAGAAAGGGGGAGAGACACTTCGACAATATGTCGTCCGGTATTGGGATGAAGTGAAAGAGTTGGAAGCATGTTCGGAGGCATTGGCCGCGGCGTCATTTAGGCTGGGGCTGTCCCGGGACACTGATTTGTACAAATCGCTAACTAAGAAGGCTCCGATGGATATAAAAGACTTAATGGCTCGGATTAACAAATATGCCCAGGTGGAAGAAGAATCTGTCGCGCCCGAGAGTAGGGTCACGGTGCCGAGGAAAAGGGAAAGGGAGTAGTCGGCTCGAAGGGGAGGTCCTGTTCCACCCCCAACTCGCCTATCCTTCCAGGGAATGAACACGGTCTTCAACGAGCCCATTCACAGGATACTTCCAAAATTAAAAACAAACCTTACTTCAAGTGGCCCCCGAGGATATTTGGAGACCCGTCGACAAGGAATGCGGCCTTTCGATTTTCGTATCATAAAGATATCGGCCATTTGACGGAGGATTACAAGGTTTATAAATCCTGCCTTGAACAATTGGTGCAAGACGGACACCTCGGGAAATTCATCGACAGGGGTCGTCCCTGCGGGTCGGCGAGGGAGCAAGCCGAGGTGCCAGCTGAGGTAGCACCCGTGATTGATATTATTCATGTCTGCACAGTGGAGAGGCCTACATACCACTCCCTCCGCGTCGAGTTACGGAGGGTCTCTCAAGCAGTCAGGGTGGAAGAAAGGGGTGATGAGCGGCCGGCCAAGAAGCCGCGGAGCAGTGCCGAGGTTATTCAGTTTTTTGACGCTGATCTCGGCGGGGTGGTCCTCCCTCACGAGGATGCATTGGTGATCACTTTGCGGGTCGGGAAGTTCGACGTCAAGAGGATCTTGGTGGACTCGGGCAGTTCTTCCGAGATGATGTACAATCATCTCTTCCGCAAGATGGGACTCTCTCAGGGAGATCTGAAACCCTTAAAAATCCCCCTTATTGGCTTTAATGGTTCCAGCGCCCTGCCCCTTGGAAAAATCACCCTCATGGTATGGGCGGGGATGGTGACCACGCTGGTGGAATTTGTGGTGGTGGACTCCGACTCCCCTTACAACGCTATTATGAGGAGATCGTGGTTGCATGCAATAAAGGCGGTCCACTCATCCTATCACCAGAAGATAAAGTTTCCAACACCGCAGGGCATAATAGAAATCTGGGGTGACCAGGCGTCGGCGAAAAGTTGTTTCTATGCCACGGTGAAAACGGGAGTCAGCGGCTGGAGTCAGGAGCGTGATCCCGATGTGGTGGTTGCCAAATAGCAATCACAGAGCGGTCGTCCGGGAGTGGACGAACCCATTACAGAGCCGGCCGACCGGTCTACTGAGGCCTTAGTGAAGATTCTCCTGAGCCCAGATAATGGTGAGAAGTACTTTTTGGTAGGAGAGTCACTCAGCGACGCATAGAGAAATGATATGGCCTCGTTTTTATGCCACAACGCCGATGTCTTTGCGTGGACTCAAGCTGAGATGACGGGGATAAGTGTCGAGGTGATGACTCATTGGCTCCATGTGAATCCCTCATTCAAACCCGTTAGGCAGAAGGTCTAGAGAACGATGCCTCACCACGCGAAAGTTGTGGATGAAGAGGTGGATAAGTTGTTGGGGGCAGGTTCCATCAAAGAGGTATAGTTCCCCCAGTGGTTATCCAATACCGTGTGCGCCAAGAAGAAAGAAGGGAAATGACGAGTTTGCGTGGATTTCACGGACCTGAACAAGGCTTGCCCCAAGGATGAGTACCCCTTGCCCAAGGTTGATCAGCTTGTAGACGTCACAGTCGGCTACAAGCGCATCACTTTTATGGATGCTCGGGCTGGATATCACCAGATTCCTTTGCATGAATCAGATCAGGAGAAAACGACGTTCATCACGCCCTGGGAGATCTACTGTTACATAGTGATGCCTTTTGGGTTGAAGAATGTTGGGGCGGCCTACCAATGTTTGATGAACAAAATTTTTAAAGACCAACTCGGCGACACGATGGAGGTGTACATTGATGACATGTTGGTCAAAAGCAAAGAGAGGGCCGACCATCTCTATGATCTCGGGACAACATTCACCATCCTCTAGAAGTATAGTCTAAAACTAAACCCCTCGAAATATGCCTTTGGAGTGAGCTCAGGTAAGTTTTTGGGGTATTTGGTTACTCACCGGGGGATCGAGGCGAACCCCAAGCAGATACAAGCAATCCAGAATGTCCGAGCGCCTAGGACCATTAAGGATATTCAGAAATTGGCCAGGATGTTGGCAGCCCTTAATAGATTTATTTCCAAGTCGTCCGATAAGTGCAAACCATTTTTTGCCAAGTTGAGGGGTGCAACTAAGGGAGTTTGGGACGAGGAATGCGGTCAAGCCCTTGAAGGGGTTTGGGTCGGCATCAACGACCAAGGCGATCGGCATCACTAGTTGAATCTTGGCTTCTTAGATGGTCTGCCCCTCCTATGGGGATGGTTGGTCTCACCTTTATGCATTGTTGGTGATAGGTTCTATCTCCATTTCCATGAAGCATAGCTTGAAAAACCCGCTGACGGACACAATCATCAACTCAGAGGATGGTCTACACTGGCCCATAGAAGTGCTCGGCATCATCAAGACATCTCAGCTGAGAAGCCTCTTTATTTTTTCATCATATTGGGGGATTGCTCAGAGCGGGGGGCATGTCTCGAAGCCACATGTTCTCGAAACAAGGGCCTCTCGGGTAATAGTTCTCTGCATCACCTACTTGACCCATAATATTTTGGGTGGTCAGCCCATCATCATGCAATGGTCATCACTGCCTCTGGACAAGATGCCTTGCCGGGTCTCCTCAATTGAATGCCCATTCGTACCTATCACTCCTTTGGCTTCAGCATCGGTTAAGCGGGGTTCTCATAATCTTAGAGATCGTAACATACACAAGCAGGGAAAAAGGCTTTACCCAGCTCTTCGGCATTCAAATTTTGAACCTGCCTAGTATCATTTCAACTTGTATTGAAGCTAGATACATGACAAATGGGGTCTTATGTTGCTCCAACGAAGGCAACGATAATGACCAGCTATCAAGAAGGGCTCGGCAAGTAAAGTCTTTGACACTTTTATCCCTCATGGAGTTAAAAAATCCAGTCTGGTGTGCTTGAAGATTCTTGGATTATTCTAACAGTTCTCTTTTAGAGCCTTGGAGGTTGTTGGCACTACAATACTATGGCCCGACGCCTATGTCCCTAGGCACTCCTTGATTCATGAGAGCTGCACAGCATCTTCAAAAAAGCCGGTAACACAGCATAAATGAGCTAAGCAGTCGCATCGCCTACCAAACCCAAAAGTATTTCAGTTGGAAGGCTTGTCATAATGAGAATTGTTCGGTCTCACACCCAGATTTGCTTGGACTATCCATGACTATTAAAGTGCTGGGGTAGAGGACCAAAAAAGCCTCATTCAAGATGTAGTTACTCAGTTTCTACTTCTTGCCTGCGCAAAGAATACCAGGTATTCAGCGGCCTCAATAAAACCCAACAGTCTCGGTCAAAAGCAACAAACATCTTCCTTGTCTTAAACAAATGGAATGGAATGACCAGCAATACTCTTATTATCTCAATGACATCGATGGTGGTGGGGCTCTCATATGGGTATTTCTCTTGCAATTTCGGCAGCCAAAGTAACACTGCCCCCTCAGGAATAGTATGTCATTAACCCGGAATGCTACTCAAAAGTAATTGGCATCATCTCCAATTAAATCAAGTGAGGGCAAGAATAAACGCACATGAATTGACAAGGCTTGGCCTAAACAAGAATTCTTCTAGTAGTGGAAGGAAGGTCTTTGTGCCCAAGACACTCAGTGGACTCCGGGCCCTAGAAACGAGTAAGCCTTTGCTTAGCCAAAGCACCAAAAGTCCTAATATAGGCATAAAATTTTTCGAGGACAGGTTGAAGAACTTGGACTAAAGAGTACTCCTTGTTTAAGGAGGTGGCATGAGACTCGAGGCTAGACCTTGAACACGGATAAGTCTTTGCATGGCCAAAGCACCCAAAGCCCTATGTAATTAGGCATCTAATAGACTCTGGGCCCTAGAAACGAGTAAGCCTTTGCTCAATCAAAGCACTAAAAGTCCTAATATACCCATAAAACCTCTTCGAAACAGTTTCAAGAACTCGGACTCGGGAGTACTCCTTGTTTAAGGAGGTGACATGAGACTTGGGGTTATGACTTGAACACGGGTAAGTATTTGCATGGCCAAAGCATCAGAAGCCCTACATGCTTAGACACTTGGTGGGCTCCAAGCCCTGGAAATGGGAAAGCCTTTGCATGGCCAAAGCACCTAAAATCTTATTGGAACATGAATCCTCTTAGATACGGGTTCAAGAACCGTCATTGGGGTGTATTCCTTGCTTAGGAAGGTGACACGAGGCTCTGGATGAAACCCTTGACATGATGACATACAGTTATGAAGAAAAGAACTGGCCCAACATCAATTTGCATGATCAGAGATCAGATGTAAATATTCTCACAAGCAGAATCTGAGAAAACCTTGGATCATTCAACCACGAGCTCAGTACGTTCATGGCTCGATTTCACAAGGTACGCTTTTATTTAAATGTTACTTGAACATGACAGGAAAATACAACTCATTGTCGAGTTCATCGCCAGCTTGAGATTATCGAGGCCAAGGGACATATATGTTCGGGTCTTCTCTTATGACCTAGATGGTCCAAGTTTACTTGAGTTTTCTCTAAATAGATAGATTTATTTGGGCCATTCCTAAGGGCTAGTGTTGGGATTCAGTTATTGTCTTTCTCGAGATTCGAATATTATTATTATGGTTATATTTGGTATTATGTTGTCCATCCCCTTAATAAGGCATTTCAATAATGCTCGGCTTTCTCTAGTAGCATCTTATGATTATGCTTGGAATTCCATTATTCTGCCTTTCAGTGGGACACACTATTGCTCGGTGTGACGGATTTCTTGTATGATCACTATTAGTAGTTGGGTCCACCACTTCTTATCCTTTTGATCAAACATGAAAAGATCAACTACGATATCTGACAAACGCATTGATTTGATTATATGGATTATCATTTGTTGATTATAGGATCTTCGAGCTCTACATATATTGATCTTGGTATTCTGTTAGGAATGAAAAATGCATTAAGACTCTATGCATGTTATTATCTATTTGATTTTGGCTTCATGATTGCTTTGATGACATATGGAAGATCTCAAAATATCTATTCTAAACTATATCTTATTGGAAGGCGGCATGAATATTCTTCATAGCTTTCATCCCCTTCTAATATTACGAAGGAAATAAAAGCTGGGGGCAGTTGATGAACTATATTTTGTATCAATGGGAAGGGCCCCACATCACATGGGTGTATCATAATGAGACCCATGGCTCATCTTTCCAAGACAAAGCTGTCAGCACTTGCAAAGATACACATCTCAAGAAGGTGTCAACTCAAGGAGACAGTAAATAGCTCTCTACTGCCTCTATAAAGATGGGTGAAGACCCAAAGGTGGGTCTGCCAGCCCTACTCCCAAGAAAAGAGTATAAATGACTTGACATATATCGCAAGTGAGACCTACTACAATAAATATATGGCAGGTAGTGAGTGTTTTGGCAGGCTAGTCCATATCTATTTCCCTGCATTGACGGCTGGAAAATAGGGTAAGTAGCTCTCTAACCTTCTATATATATATAGGTGAAGACCCAAGAAAGAGGGGCTTCAAGTATGAGCACCTCGGCTCCATACTCCACACACACACCTTTTACCATTTCTCTAATTTTATACACTAACCTATTTATGTGTTGATCGCAATATTGACTTAGGCATTAGAGGAGCCTCCCCTGGCTCAACGCCGAGGGTTCCTCTAACCTCTCTTTGATTTTTCAGCTCATAGATTTGGTGATACTCAAAGATTAGGGCGCACCTTCAACATTTTAGTGATTGTGCAAATTTTTGCCCTCACAAAGACAAACGCCATTTGAGTTAGTTTATGAAAGGGAACCTCCGAATTTGTTGGCTTATGTGCAAGGAACGGCTATGTTGAATCTGTACATCATTTCCTTATTCAACGTGACCAATTTATACTCGAAGCAAGGGAGAATTTGTTGGCCGCACGAAATAGAATGAAGAGATTGTATGATGCAAAACACACGGAACGTTGCTTTAAGGTAGGAGATTGGGTTTATCTCAACAACAACCTTGTCAACAAACCGTGGTAGCACAGAGAAGGAACAACAAGCTCGCTACATAATACTATGGGTCATTTCAGGTGGTCTCCCCCATTGGGCGGGTTGTGTATAAACTGACACTTCCCACCTCATCAAAACTGCATCTCGTTTATCACGTCTCCAAGCTCAAGAAAATGATGGGTGAAAACCATGCAGTCCAGTCGGACCTACCTACATTCATAGACTCGGGGGCAAAAGTCCATCCAATACCTAAAAGTCTTTTAGATAGCCAAAATATCAAGGGAATTTTGGAAGTTTTGGTGCATTGGCAAGATGTTTCTCCTTCTGATGCTTACTGGGAGAATGAAGAGGACTTCAAGCTGCGTTATCCTTACTTTACCCTTGAGGACAAGGGTGTTGATTGGGGGGAGGCAAGATGATACGGTCCAAATGCTGGAGCCATTATCTGAGAAGATTAGGCATAGTAGGAGTCCTAGAAGAGCTCGTGATGCAGGGGGAGATGGATGAGGATAAACAAGCACCAGGATAAGGATAGGAATAATTTGTATTTTAGATTAGCAAATAGTTAGGATATTTATATTTATCATCTAATAGTTACGATATTTATGCTTATCGTCTAGGAGATGTTTTCAGTTACAACTACATGTAATTGCCTATTTAAGCATTGCAAGTTATGAATAAAAGTATCAATTAATTCAATCATTGTTAGGAGGTCCTGGACCCCTCGAACCATCCTATCCAAACACAATAGGGAAGCAACACAAGGTTGATCCCTGTTCTTTGCCCCTTGCTAAGCCATTTACGCTCTCTCAATCGCTGGCATGTAACACAATCTAATATTTATAAATGATTAGGTAAGCAAATTAGGTTTAAATAGCATTGTTTTTTTATTATAAGAAGCAAAGAAATTTTCTTCTTGTGTTTGATAGAAAGAATTGAAAAGAGGAGAGATAAATTTTTTAATATTATGTGTAGGTGAAAAATTGAAGAATGAAAAAATTACCCATGCATATTTTATTATCAAATGCTTATACGAAATTCACTTATCCATAATATATAATAGATCATGTAGAATATTGTATATTAGAAATTACCCGTGCCTAAAGGTACTATACAACACTAAAAAAAATCGCAAAAGCCCAAATTGCATTAATCTAAAAGGTGACATAATACTTAGTAAGAATTGCAATGAGAGAATTATAAAACTTTAAACCAATCACTTAGTACATCAGAATGTAACAAAACAACTCTCACTAATTTTCTGGTTTCACTAGCATAACATAAAATTTTAGTGATGTTACCACTAATTTTGAAAAGCCTATTTGTTTGCATGATTTAAGGAACAATGGACTATGCCAATTTTTATAACCTATTTCCTATTGTCCAATTAATTCCTTGAATCACACCGACCTTCAATAAGTTGCATGATTTCAGCAAGTACAACAAATGTGTTGTATGTAGAGGAAATTGTAACAGGCAACTCTACCCCTTGAATTTTGCCAAGAGAATCGATGGCTGATTGAACCCATTGTAGAGTCATAATCCTCTTACCGGAACTTTTAGTGTGATGAATGATGCCCACTACCAGAACGTAAGCACATAGAGCAAATTTTATTCCATGTGATAGATAGACTAACATTCTAACAGTTGTATAATTTCATAACATTTTCAATGCATTGTTTTTAGGATAGCCTCAATTCCATGATTAGAAATAATTCAACCTATCTAATGTTGTTAATAGCGAATAACTAATTAATGCAAATTAATGACAAATGAATAAATTTATCCCCATAATCATGATTCAACAAATGGAAAAAAATAAATTTAATTAGGTACATGAACTATGAATAAGCAACCAAAACTGATGAGCCCAGATTTAATTTGGTCAAACCCAGTAAATCAAGTAAGTCTAGGTCCACTATGAAGGTAGCCCAAGTCCGGTTAACCAATCCAACCCAGTCCAAGATCTAAGGAGTCCATGAAGAAAAGAACACATGGAGAGAGATCATCAGGATGGATACACAAGAATTAACTATACTTACCTTTTGTAAATATACTCTCTGAAGAATTAGTACCTTCACATTCACAGCACCGT